CAACTTGCGCTCAAGGGTTCGGACAATTTGCACTTGCACTTCCCTACCATTTCAAGTACAAAATCATTTCGGGAACTTCTCGAGTTTTTTTGAGATTACAACGCTTTATTAGTCATCTTGTTTATGAAAACATGTCTTCAAGCTGCAACAAGTATAGACAAAAAACCTTGCATATACTACTACATTCTACGGACAAAAGCTGTATGCTGAATGGAAATATAATACAAGTACATGTCCAGATAAAAAACGAAATTTTTGCATTTTTTTCGCCGCCTTTCTCACGATATTTTATGACTTTCTAATTTTCTCGGAAATATATGTGTAGATATATGTATGTATGCACATATGTATTCTCCGTATACGAAGTTGTAAACCGCTTTTAGACCTCCAGGAACTGCATTCACTGGGTCAATTATCCTAACAAGTTGGTTATTGAGACGCACAATGACTACGCGTTCTGCGTTTATCCGTCATTGGGTAAAGTTCGATTCGTGAGCAAAAAAGCAGGATTTTTAGAAGACAAGTTGAAACATTAACACGCTCTTTTGGGCTCATAAATTTTACAAGGAAAGTACTTCTATGGAGTATGGAGTTACAGGTCGAGACATCGCAAAATTTTTCTGATTCAGAATATGTGAAAATTTACTGCCCAATTTTGGTTTATAAGAGCAAAAACATCGTTAGAACTTTTCTCGCAACTCCACGATTTTTTTGATATATGTCTCGACCTGTAACTTACTTATACAGTGCATGATGACTATGAAAACCTTCAAACTTTTCCATGCAGAAACTAAAAAGTTAGAGAGAAACACCGTTTTTCGTCTAGCCGACTCTCCGCATTTCACGTTCTCTCTCGAAACCTAGACATTGAAGAGGCTAAGACTTCCAAGGATTAATTGAAACGTCAGCATTTTGCAACCTGTGTGCCAACGCTTGTTCAAACACTTTTAGGCGTTCCTTTCTAGGAGTTACGATTGAAATTTTTCATACGGTAAACGCCTAGTTAAACGTTTTACATTATTATATGTATGGAAGAGTGTTAAATTTTCTACAAATTCTCGTCTAAGTGGTTTGTTTTCCAACCTCGAAATTAAATTGTACGATGGTTACTATTTGGCATACACAACGCTGTAAACAACTACGTCTTAAACCTTTCTTTTCTACGCAGTGACCTCAAAAAGGAAGCAGTGACTTCAGAATCGGCAGCAGAAGCGAGACAATAGGAATTTAAATCACAACAAATAATTTATAAGACTAAAAATGGAGAATTGCCCGAAGCAAAATACATGACAAACCGTGTCGAATTCCAGAAATAAATTTTTTATAATTCTTTTTACTTTTAATTGCTAAGGTAATTGTCTGGAATATAACCTTTTCCGAACAAAGAAAATTGAATTTTTTTCCAATTGACAAAAGTTTTTTCCGAAAAATTTAATAAAATTGAGCAAAACGAAATTGATTAGGAGTGCTCTACTCCTACACTCAGAAATGTTAGAGTGAACTTTGAGGAAAAATAAAGCAAAGTGTTGAAATTCAGTTAGTTGATGACTTAAGGAAGCCTCTCAAGTGTTGTATGCAAGTTCTCCTCAAATTTTACTATCCATAAATTACTCTCTAAATTTTTTTACCCATGTTTTCCGCGGCAGCCGAGACACTCAGTGCAACCTGCGAGAGAGCACACAAGATGATGAGAGTGAACCAGACAAAAGGCGGCTTTTGTCCATTATTTTTTTTGTTTTGTTCTTCCCGGAGTACAGTATAATAGAAAAATTTTGCAAGTGTTGGCAAACAATAGCCTAAGCTTGAGCAAAGTTTCATTGAGTCTCGTTGGCCACGCAACAATAACTTAAGAAAAAAAATTGTAGTGTATGTATATAGGCTGCGGTTACAAATGGAAGCCCAATATTTCAAAAAATTGATATTCAGCCTGTTTATATTACCATTTTGGATTGTGAATATTCGAAGCCGGTGTGCATTTTCTTTGAAGCGATATTTTTACAAAAGATCGGCTACTTTGGAGGCTCGAAAAACACTACACTTTTCAAATTACACGAGATGCTGTGTGTCGTTGAAACGCTTAGCGATAGAGCTTTAAAAATACTTATTAGTTTACATCTTACATTCATGAGTCATTGAGAGCCAACGGTCGAAATTTGAGGCGCCAAAAATGCGGAATACCTTCCGAAAATCCTAAAATACAACAAAAATTTTTACTACTACCATGTTGGCTCGTAATAACTTCATTTTTCCGTCCTGCGACTGTAATTACTTTCGTGCCGTCCAAGATTATGATCTCCAATTACTGTTTGACTTTACATTCCCTACACTCCGAATGTAAGCATTTGGAACCTACGGTTTGTAAAAAATTGTAAATTTACAACAAACGGAACTCTCCCGCAGCCCGAAAACTGAATGCGGTCGCGTGAAGGCGCGCTACTTTTTTCCTCCAACTTGCTAATTGCTTGTTGAGCGTGCAGTCAATTAAGTTGGATCTGCATAAAAATAGCCGAAAAAATTTTTAATCATAGAAAAAGTGGGGGGCAGTTTGGGCCGGAACTTCGCACAACACCTACGAAATTACTGTAGAGGAAAGAGGATTACAGTATAAGCTATTTATGTAAATACGCATTTCCTTTGGAACGCAACTCGGAGTTTCTCAAGATTAACGGGGAATTATCTGTATGCGATGTATGTAATATGCATATATCTAATCTGAATTTTTTGCTCGCACTTTGCAGGTGTAGCGGGCAAGTTTTTCGGCCTATATAAGTGGCAAAAGTAAAGGGTGTTCCAAGAAATATTGCAGAAAGTATTTGCGAATATCTCCGTGCTCGTTGCAGCTATCCAAGAAGTTTAAATTGATTTTAAAATTTGAAGTCGGGCGATTTTAGAATACGGAAAAAAAAATTTTCTTGCGTTGGCGGAGAGACTATTTTTTGGCGGAGACATTTGAGGCCTCCTTTAAATTACCTCTCGTTACAAAGCCCAGAAATCTTAACTGTTTTTTGTCTGGCTTACTCCCCTAGTTCTACCTGTTCTCTCGACAAAGAAGAACATTGAATTTCTCGGCTGCAAAGAAAGCTAGAATTCATAGGGAAAAATTTAAAGTATATATGTAATGTATGCAAAATCCACACCAGCTTGAAATACTTCTCTTACCAAAAAGATGACTTATAGTGAATCATTTGTAACACCCGTCAATAACAGTCTTTAAGTTTTTTTTGTAGTGTGATAAAGAACACATTACAAAATTCTTTTCAATTTCTGATTCACCTCCAAAACCTTCATTACAACGGTCATTTCGACAAGCTTTTTAACACTTTTTTTCGGCATCATCTGCCCTTTTCACTGTCAACTACAAGGGCCTTGATAGTCGTACAACACTCCTTGACCAAACCGTCTCCTCTTAAAAACTGTAACACTAGATTTTCCGCCACTTGAACTGGTAGCCGACGTGTAGGTGGCATCTCATGTAAGCTCGCAAATTGGGGATTTTAATGGAGTAAAAATAGGGCAAAAAATGATAATGGTACTTAATGCGATTAAAGCTTAGGAATTCAGAGTTCGATTCGGACTAATCATTGCTGAATAATGGTGTTTGGATTTGAATACAAGAGTAATGTATGGGGGAGAAACTCAGAATATGTATGTATTTTGGCGAGATAAGTGTGGAACATTGGCACTTTACATCTAACAAGATGAAAAAAAGTATTGTAAACATGGATCTATTGAGTCCAAATTGAGTACAAAAAACATTTTGTAGCAAAATGAGAGAAATAAGGGGTACATTAGACACTGACTTACACTGACTTAGCTAGGCAGAGGCGCAGAAAAAAATGGTCCGGGGGGACCAAGGTAATTTTTAATTTTTTACATTGTGACCCCCAGGCAACCTCCCCCCTCCAGAATTTTTGGTCAGCTACGCCTCTGAACCTAGAGCCCATGATGACTAAGTCTGTCACAGTGTCATCTTCATCCCTCCTCTATTCACACAGTCTCCCTATTTTGAAGAAAATTATCAGGAATTTTCCCACAACTCCCTATTATGTCCAGACCGTACACAAATCTTTTTTGCACCGTATCCCCCACCATCTCATCATTCGGTGCCTTGATTTCGAGAAAAAATTCCGAGCGCACGTTAAAAATAACCCCCAAATTCGTCATAGTAATTACAGTGTCGGCGGCCGAGGCCATCCCCGTCGGAATGCGGCGCCATTGTTTTTATTGTGTTTTGACGGGCATTAATCGACCATTCGTCCCCAAACTAATACTCGAATATTCCCGTACAATATCCGAGATATCAAAATAATTAATTCGATTTCCATTGAGTATTTGTATTTGGTTGGTAAACGCGCTTAATTTAGCTGACAATTATTGCAATTAACAGTTTTTTTTTTGAGCGGGCAATCAGGGAGTTTGTAAATATTGTTTTTTTTTGTAAAAACTATATTACTTTTTATGCGATATAATTGCATAGTCGAGGCGTTGTTGAGATTCATGATTAAGCCCAACTCCTCACGCCCCTATTATTCGCTTCGATTAAAATACGCATATCCTCCCTTTTCCTCATTAGCACAAAAGTGGGCGGGGCCAGCGGCCGCGGCCCTTAAATGGAACCTCTTTTATATTTAACGTCCAAAACTTATTGTTTGGCCCCTACTATGTTTAATCTGTTTCGGTGGCGGGGCGGAGTCTGCGACGCGGACCCGGAGGCACGGCCATAAAATTGAGCTCATTTCGCGGCTTGGCCACTCCTCGAGACCACTTAATTTGAAACGAACAAGGGATTTGTAATGTTGCGAGTGTTGTTCGGAGTTCTGTTCGGAAGCAACGAACTTAACACTATATCCACTTCTTTATTTGGCATATCGAAACGACTGTTTCTCCCGTCCCGACAATAATTATAATGTTCATGGCATTGATATACGATTTTCGTTTTTTTTCTCAACTTTACCTATAGAAATCAAAAAATCCTTACGCTTCTGCTTCCAGACTTGACCATGCTACTGCAAGGTGTGTTTTCATACCTTGTCACCCTCTACATTTGCCACGCGTCACAAGTTTTGCGGCCCAAACAACAACGTCCACACCGGCATCATTTGGATGTGCGGCATTTTCGCGACAACTGGTTCGGCGACATCCCCGACCCTTTCATTCGGCGCGGCATTTTCAGCCTACCCTGCGCTCCGAGCGAGGACGCCGAGGATGCGCACGTGGATTGTGCGTCACGGAACCTGGAGCAGAGTCTTTGCGTTACGAAGATGTTGGGCGTGCTGACGTCAACCTGCTCGTACCCGGCTACGATTTGCGAAGGGGGCGATTGCGTGAAGCGGTTTCAACCCTGCTTCGTAGGAAGCGAATATGACTACGGTAAGGATTACTCATTTACTGCTAATTTTACTCGTTTCCGTTTCAAGCCTAATCGTCGAGAAATTTGGGGAAATCCGGCATTTCGGGGGGAAAATCGGGCCCAAAATTTTAGTTAATCTTACCGTCGTGACCTTAAAAAGTAGCGATTTCGATGACACCATGTTCAGAAATAGAGCTATATAATCCCGTGCCTACAAAAAATAAACTTTTTCGACGTTTTTAAACACCACTAATATCTGTAAAATGACTAACACGCCCTTTACACCCCACTTTGTATTTTGTATTTTCCCTGAGGCAGTTTTTCAAGTAGCGCTTCAGAAATTGTGTGAGTGCCATTACATCTCACCAGACTTTGAAATAGTATTATATTGTCGTCTCAAGTTTGGAAAATAATTCATTACAAGCAATTAATCCTTGGCCTTGCTAAGCCAATGGCTTTGCAGTGACTTGCTATTTCGAGGAAGTTCTCAACTTATTAAGCTTCACACAAAGCTTAGCCAAGCGTTTTTTAGTCTTTAGGACATAGAGAAAAAGGGGTTTGAGATTTGCAAAATCTTTTTTGATATTTCCCACAAATCGCTACGAAATTTAACCGCTTTTGTTTTCAGCTGCCAAGGAGATTGTGCACAGTCTGGATCCATACCGAGCGGCGAAGGAAATGTGCCGTAAAAATCGATTCAACCCCTTCGACATGGTACGATCGTTCTGCTGTTGGACAGAAGAGTGCCGGAGTCGATGCTACCCCGCGGATGTCTTTGGTAGGCCGAGATAGAAGCCTGAGGACGCCTGTGGAGGCTTTAGATGCAGATAACTACTATCTATTGTGCCCGTGGAAGATGTTAAGCGAGCGGCAACATCTGAGAGCGCTACAGTGGGGCAGAAAGCTTGCTTTGCGAACAGAGAGGAGTCTGTTGTCAATTTGGAGGTGACTAGCGGTGCTACAGAATCCCACAGATCCTTGTAACATCTACAGAGTCATCATGTTCATTCCTGCAACCTAAAACAGCCATGATGACAATTGAAATATCAACAGTTCTTCCTAGGCCTTCAACCCTAAAAATCGTCGCTTTTATGGCCGCAGTGTATCTTGCAGTGCCCTCAGCGTCTACAGTACGACTTTCACGGAACTTCCACGCACACCAGCATCCTCAGGACATGTTGTTGATTAGAGTTCTAGTGTAACATCCTGGCTGACATTGTTTGCCGAGAGTCAGCCGCAGAATTGTTGAAAACGTTGCCTTCAATTAGTTGAGTTTGTTATACATTAGCGAAATTTGACTTTAAACATGTCTCTTGTTGCCGAATACATATCTTTAGGCTGTGTACATATGTTGAAGATGTACTTCAGATATATTGAAGCGTTCTACATTGTTTCTTCCTCTATTTATATTCTTGTTTTACTTCTCATTTCTTCCGTCAAACTTATTAGTTAATAACGTAGCCTTTGATTAGCCAAAATGTTTCAAATCTTATTCCCTTATACTGCCTGCCGTCCCACGACGGATTACACCATATCATCTCAAGTCGGCCTTCTTTGTCTATTTGTTTCCGCAATTTGCTCAAAAAAGTTTTTTTTGTGTGTTTTTTAATAAATTTGAACACTTGAAATCGTCACTGCCAAGAGGATTTAAAGCATGTTTCGGAGAATTAAGCGGCCTTCATGGAGGCTGGAAAACAACATGATCAAAGGAGCGGATGTTCAGATTTATAGAAGAGGGACATACGGTGTGATATATAAAGCCGCTATACAGTTTCAAAAAGCCAGTTTTCAATAGGATCTTCGAAATCTGGAGGTCTTTGTTTGGGCGATTATATCGTATATTAGGTCTTTAGTGTCTCTGTTGGCGTATGTAAAGGGGTGCAGTTGGCACAGTGAAGATACCGTAAGGCAAACATTGCTATTTTTACATTGGATTTTGGCACGAACCCACATTATTGCAGTTGAAATCTTGCTATAAATTTATTTTATTTTACCCCACTATAGAGGTGTCCTATGCCGAAAATACTTATTTTTAGTAAAGGCTGTATGATAGCTATAGATATTGGACCCTTCTGTAGGCTTAAGTCTGCCGCTACATCTCTAAAAACACCCTTTACTTTCAGCTTTTGACATGAAACACTTTTTTATATATAATAGAATTACAACCTATATAACTGTCTCACAGCCATTCTCATAGCCGCACAGTACCATCTGGTACTCGAACCATGCGTAGCGTCTCATTTTGTAGCTTCTACCTTGTGCAATCCAGACTTTAGCCATTGAATTATATAATAACGAACCCCTTTTCAGGTGTTTTCCCATATTGCCAATTTGAAGAGCATTCAAGAGCTTCTTTTGTACAACAACCCTATTCTATAAACGCAGAACCCTTGACTGTTGTAATTCTTCGTGCACACTGTTACAAACTTTATAAACCTAAAGGGTTCTTTGAATGGGACAAACGTCAAAAGAAGCGGCTTTCTTACTGTGAAGAAGAAGGTTTTGCGTCTTCAAATCGCAGTGTAAAAGTTATGCCGCATGCGCTAACCACGTCATCCCCACAGTATAAGAGTTCGTGCAAATTCCGCCAGGACAATTTTAGACTATGCTCTGCTATTCGGCAGTACTGAAAACGCTTAGTTTAAAGCCCAAAAGCCCAAGTTCCGGCTTCCGGGTCACCCACAGCAAGCCAAAATAGCACCTCTAATTCAACGAAACATGATTTTTACTGCTTTTTTTCACCACCTCTACGTTCATTACCCAGGTTCTACAGCCAGAAGACGCCACGACCACACCATGTACGTGGCATCGTTATGGTTATACAAGGCCGCATATTTCGCATAAAGGCGTCATTACCAGCCGATTCAGCGAAACGTGAAGCGTCTTTTGCTCCCTACCGTTTTGGCGTTCAAAGTTTGTTTTTTTCGCTCCTATCTCAAGACCCAATTATATGCGGTATTCACAGCACGACGGTAGGATTCTTGAAGACTCTCCTCGCAAGCAGAGCGGGCATGATGTCAACGACTAGTCAGAGTTTCAACGGCCCACTTCTTTATGGGCGTAGATTTTGACCCGGCGGACCCAGGGGTGAACTACGGTAAAAATGTTTGCAGATTGGAGAAATGGGGCTGCGAGTTCCAAGGACTCAAAGAACGGGGTTCACTTTCGACAGAAGCTTGGTTGCGGTGTCAAGCGTGGTATTTAGTATATAGCTTCTTACTGGATAAGATCGAAAAAATCATGACTGAAAGTATTTAGCTTGCAGACGTCAAAAACTATCGTAGAGCCTAGACATGGCTCCGGGACCGGACCTGCTGTGTGGCCGGGCCGAGCGAGCTTGAAGGGACTCGGGGCCAAGACGACCCTTTCCGGCCCCGGCAGGGCTATCCGGTGACCCCGGGCCCAAAATCGCCTTGAAAATTGGTGCTGCCGGACAAGCCCTAGAGCTATGTCGATTGTTGCCTTAATCAAACAACTACGCTTCAACAAAAAACAATTTCAACAGAGGTTCTTCTAAAATAAGCACTCGCCTCCCATCTCCACGCCATATCACTCCCGACGATCCCTACAGTACGGCTGGAACCTTTTCGCGAACCGTAAATAAGACTATATACATAACGCATAGCCGGCATGACGTCCGAAACGTAATTATTGTGTGCGAAACTGTTTTACGAAAGGAGCGCTCGAGACGGTGTATAATTACATCCAGCGTCACTGAATTCGCACAAAAGCATTTCGGGGCCCGCAGGGTCAACTACTTCCAGAGAGGTGTAAATTCATTTTGTTTGGGTTGTAATTAATACGACAACAGTGTGATTAGTCATAATGCGAAAACATAGAAAAAAAAAGAAAAAAATCTTTTTTCTCTTGCAGATCTTTAATGGTAAAGGGGACGTAGAAATCAAAATTCAAGAGAGTATAATATATTCTTTGCCAGAGATAAATTCGGTAGGGGGAAGTATCAAGTGTAATGCTAAAAATTTATAAAATTTTTTCACCTATATAAGATATCAACTCCTGAAAATCTTAGCTTGTGCTTCGCAGAGTCAGCCAAGATTTTCAACGATCTGCGCCGACGAGAAAGGTTGCAAAATCCGAAGAGCGGTCAGAGAAAAAACGACAAAAAGGGCCTATTTTCACAAACTCTTGGACATAAAGTCTTTGACCTTTTTGCAAAACGCGACTCGAAATCTCACACAAGTCTTATCAAAAAAAATAATTTAAATTTATGCCAAATTTCGTTAAAATCTTAGGATCGCTTTTTTCGAGCTCGCTCTATGATTCTCCATTAATCTTTGCCCAAAAAACCAAAAAAAAAAAACACTCGTTGCATTTTTTGCCTTTACAAAACACCAAAAAACAGTTCAAGTAGAGCAGTAAAATACAAAATGCAGCACAATGTCAGTTGTAATCATCCTTCTGCAAATAACAGATGTCATTGTTCCAACACATCCAGTTTCACTCACCATTCTTTGAGGACTCATTTTTTGCTCCACACTACAGAAACCACTTCACAATAGATGCTGTCCACTCAATGAGATTGTAGTTGGCCTCATTTCAGAGAGTCATTAAAACTGAACCCAAACTACGCTTTTGGAGGAGCGTTCCTCCCAGATATGTTTTATATAGCAAATATATTATAGTAATATGTAAGATAGTCAGTAAGATTCTTTGCAAGATAGCATGCAAAATACGGAGAGCCGATCAAACGAAGAGCGGAGTCATTAATCTTGCGGGCATCTATACATTTACCGTTTAGAATTACGATTTTCCTCCCGTAATTTACGTAGTATGATAGAAATTTTGCATTGGCAAGTCCCTGGCACTGATAAGTACACGAATCTATTGAATTCATCCGTCGCTTTCAAAGTTATGGAATTTTTTTTTAAAAAATGTTTCTGAACTTATGACAACACTTATACACCTGGGGCCTGTTTCACGAACGCAAAATAAAGAAAATAGAAATATGAGCGAGCGAGGGAACAGAGGAAATGCATGCGAAACGGGAGAGACGGCAGGAAAATGAGGATTGCGCCAATTCTCAATCGGAGTGACTTTTTACGTCCAAAATTACGGGTTGGCGGTAGTACTAGTCGTTCCAGAAAGTGAGTGCACTTTTTTTCGCGGCGCACAGTGCATTTTTCTTCTTTTTGCACTGCCTACTAGGCGTTCCAGAAAGTGCGTGCACCTTTCGTCGCAAATTTTCCGCACTGTGCATTTGACCTTTTGCACCGTGCAATTCAAAAATCGCAGCGACATAAGCTTTTTTCAACTCTGTCGCCGCGCATTTTGGGCGCGCGGCGACAATTGCACAGTGCAAAAAGAAGAAAAATGCACTGTGCGCCGCGAAAAAAAGTGCACTCACTTTCTGGAACGACTAGTAGTATTTGAGCCATAACTTTCCTCTACTTGGGCCTACAAGCACCCTCCAAAAATTCAAATAATGCTGAGACTTCGGGCTATGTAGATCTATAAAAATTTTTGCTCTACCGCCAATGACAAAGTTACCATAGGCGTTGTAGTGTTGAATTCTTCTACTTTATAACGCTAAAAGGCCTTTTTTCGCGTTAATTGAAACAGTCAAAAATTCTAATTTATGTCAGTCGATAGACAATTTAATTCTCTACAAAACATTTTTAGAGGGCCAACTGTAAGTCATTTTTAGGCTGAGTAATAACTGATTTACTTTGACAATCCCTCGATTTTCATCACAAAAAATCTTTCGAAAGAGCCCTCAAATCAAAACAAGAGAGAAATTTTACGGTAAAAAATGGGATGCGGCTGGACTAAATCACCCATAACTTTATCAGTTGGTGAGATATAGACGCCCCTCTAAAAAAATGAGGTAGCCAAGACAATTTTCTTTACAATTATATAAAATTTTATACTAATATTTTATTATTTGGAAAAAAAACCTATTTTTATTCTGAAAAAATGGAAAAATGTTGCAAACTGCTGCACTACTATAAATTTGTTCGTGCCGTAGATCGCCAAACATCCTAAAAAATTGCATTACTGTAAACCGCGGACTCAGGTCTACATGATTTTTTTAAATGGTGTCGATCCGACAATTTTGGGCGATGTTATGAGGGAATTAAGCTAGAATTGCAAAAATTTTATAGAAAATAGAAATGTGCGCATTACTACTGCTATTTTCGAGCGAGTTTTTGCAACAATGCAACGAAACTTGCACACATGACAGTCCAAACAGTTAGCATTATTCGAAATTTTGAAGGGTGATTCTACGCCCATGGAGGGAAAAGTTATGGCCGAAACACTGCCGCCAACCCTGATTTTGGACGTAAAAAGTCACTCCGATTGAGAAGTGGCGAAATCCTCATTTTTCTGCCGTCTCTCCCGTTTCGCATGCATTTCCTTTGTTCCCTCGCTCACTCATATTTCTATTTTCTTTAGAAATATGAGTTTTTGCGTTCGTGAAACAGGCCCCTGGAAATTTAATTCGCAACATCTAACTGCCAAATCCATCGTTATAGTTTCCTGTTGTAAGCAAACCTTGGCTGATTTCCAAACATTCCCAGAGAATGTCCATGGTTCTTCTAGCTGGCTAAAAAGTGGTTGCCCGGGCGGGCCCAAACTTTGCGGGCGGCCAAAAAAAACCACGGAGGTTCTGCATGCAAAATCTCTATCATATTAGGTAGATTGCGGTAGAAAGTTCGCAATTCTAACCTGCAACAAATGATTTAGCGTTCGTTTCGAATCGACAGCCAAAAAAAGAGATCAATATTCATGGGAAATCTATCAACATTTTGCATGCTCTAAATATTTTTTGGATTTTGAGCTCTTTGCCTTTGAAAAATGTTGCTTAAACTTTTGATGACGGTATAGCCTAATCGTAAGTTTAATATCCGAAAATGTATATGCTAAAATATACCGCATATGACTGCCACTTATGCCGAAAGTTTTAAATTCCAACACCTCAAGAATGCGGGTTTTGTTTGCAGGAAAATGCCAAAGTAATATCCTACAATCAAAGACAATCAGAGAACGGGGAAGTGTCTAATTATTGAAACAAAAGACCAGGTACGGTAGCTGGGGGACTGGACTTTTGGAATTTGAAGATATGGCTGCCAATAGATAGTCAGGCCAATAAATAAGAATCCTAAAAACAATGATATTGTTATGTATAAAAAAATATTTTTGGGGCTTTTATCGCAATATCTTTTGTCCTTACAATTAGCAAATTAAAAGTTCAATACAGGTTCCACTAGATCTTCTGTTCAAAAAAAAGGTTTCTGTGATTCCTTTATGACGTTTTACAGTATCTGAAGCTTATCAATGGAAATCTGGAAGCCATCCTCTGCAAAAAAACGGTCTTCTTTTGTTTACATGACACTTTATTGTGTACTACTCATCTCATCTTTGCATTTCTGTTTAATTTTGCCGGATTTATCATCGTAGTGAAGTCCGTATTATTTTGCTACTATATACATACAGTTGCAGACCTGATCCAGTGGCAAAAAACGCGCCATTTTACATCCGGGAAGTATCAAAAAATGTGGCAAAATACCTCCCTCTCCAAGTGAAAAAATTTCAATTTTAAAATTGCACCCGCTTTTTTGTGAAGGAAAGGGCTCGCCCTTCAAACAGTTTTTTAGTTGGAGAGGCATTTTGCCACATTTTTTGATACTTCCCGGATGCAAAATGTTACGTTTTTTTGCCACTGGATCAGGCCCGTCACTGTATATGAAAACTACACCAAATTACTGCAGCGTTCTACTCCAATATCAATTTTGAACCCTCTTTTTCTCCATTCAACGTTTGACGCAGTATCTATTGAATACCAAGCTTTACTCGGTAATTCCAAGAAACCAAATGACAGCGAAAGAAGAGCAACTCCAATGGCTCAAAATACAGACTATTAGATCACGCTGTTGATGCTGTTTCCCATTTGCTGTGAGAAACTGCGCCACAAGCAATCTAATTTAGTCTATAAATATGTCAGAAAACAAAAACAATAATTTTCTATCGCTACCATAAACTTTAGCTCTTCGACTACCCAGCTATAGCTTGCTTTAAAAAACCTCAAACACTTCGAACTTTAGTCTAGGGGCCGTTAAAATATGTTTTCGCGAGCAAGTTATTTACCTTGTTCACGTATCACATCATCAATTCCGGTGTCTTGTTTATCCTTCGCGTGTATCAAAAATAAAACACCGAGACCCCAGCGATGTTTGGCAAACCCCGAGACGGCTCGTTCCCCTGATTTTTCCAACATCCCTTCCCGGAAATGCATTTGTTTGCAGGATACGTAATGTCGGACAATTTTACCTCAAACCTCTCGGATTTCAGCTCTTTTCGTATTTTCAGTCTTTCTCATACATTCCGCTGTTTGCGGGAAAAATACGCATCAATCTTGCGCATATTCCTCACAACTCCGAAGAGCCCAAGAAGAATGGCGTAAACTACAAGAGGCAGTACTAAAAATATCGAGCAGCAGAGCCCGCTGATAAAATTTTTTTTGCCATTTTCTTGTGGGGGAGCTATGACGAACATTACACACTTCAAATGTTACGAAGAGCCGCAGAGAATGGGAAAAATACAGTTTTGATTGGCGCATTGTAGTTAGTGTAATGTCAAATCAGATTATAGTTGTAGGAGCTGCAGAAAGGAGCTTGAAAAAATCAGCGAAGAGCCAAAAGTCAATTCTGGGAGGCTTGGTTTAAATTTTGCAAAGAGCAATGTAGGCTATGTAGCCAGCTATGTAAATACCTAGAACTTTTTTTTCGAGTTACGTAATATAATATATACAATTGTCAAAACTTTTTTCCCATTGCCAAAAACCCAACGGAATGCGTAACCATTGCGACTTCCACAAACTCAAAATTAAATAACATAACCAGAATTTCATTTCCTAAAAACAATGAGTTATGTAAATTTCCGTGAGGCGGAAACCTGATTAGCTCGGCGAATATGAGCAAGTTTTTGCAACTACAACATAAATAAAAAAATTGACGTTTGGCGAGCTCCTTATTGAATTAACGGAAGAAACTCCGCTAAACATGCCATGCAAAAAAAGCATTTGGGAACCCAAAGCGCATACTAGTCAGGCTGCTGATGGTAATACCTCAAAATTATTGTCAGCAGCCGATGGATCGCGTCAAAATAAAAAGTAATAAGCTAAAAGTAATCATCAATAATTACACAATTTTTTGTGCCTAAAAATTCACATTTTGGCAATGGCAAGGTGCGACCTGACTTCTGCAAACCAAATTTTATACGCCCTTTCTCAACAAAGCTATCAAAAAAATTATAAATATTTAGGATACCGAGGTACCTATCACAACTTTTGCCGACAAAAAATGCAGTTTTCCGATCCAAAAACTACGAGATACACCTTATAATAGACATCACCCATCCTTAAAAAAAACAGCAAGATTCGCTCAAAATCACAACTACCCCTCTTCAAACGTCCTAAAATATTATATTATAATATCCCTCCATTAATAATACTCTATTAGCAACAAAAATCCTAAAAAATTCCAAAACCCAACTAAATAATCAAGTGCAATATCATGAACCCACACTTATGCATTTATTGAGCAAAAGCCTGCACATGAAGAAAAAAAATACTGGCAAACATATTACATTATACCGCGGCGTCCACAAAATACACAATAAAAAAACAATCGAGGATAATGAAAGATCACTGGTAAAAAGAAAATTGTGAAAAAAATATGACTCGTTGTGTATTGAATTCGCACAAACCCTTTTCGTAGTGTTAGTAAAGAGTGATATAACACAAAGCATACACATTTTGGATCGTAAAAAGTTTGAATATTGTGATAAACAAGCTTATAGTTATATTATACTAGGTAAGTTGGGTAAAAAATTAACAAAACTAGTGATTAGTGGGGGGAAAATAAAAAATCGAGGGAAAATAAATAGTAATAGTACATGGTAAAGAAAGTTAGGATTGATAGCACCGGATTACATCGTAGATCATTTGTCGGCACAGTGGGCAATTTCTGGTGGTTTTCATCGTTTCCTGGGCGCACGAAAAGCACATGCACAGATGGCCACAGCGATATAGAACGGCGTTGACGCGATCACTCATGCATACCACACATTCCGAGTTCATTCCTCCATCCTGGATCTTCTCTTCTAAAAATTTTGATTTTTATATTGCACTTGGTCAATATTGCTCTAATTTTTGGAAATTTTCAATAATTTTAGATCATTTTAATTTCTCTTTTAACGCAGGGATAGTTGCAAAGTCCCCAAAGGATTTTCTGAACAAATTTTACTGAGGGTTGATGTTGAAAAATGCCCCGTGGTTTAGCGAAAAATTGAGAAATCGGAGTGATAATGATGTTTTTGGGCGATAAAACAGATCTAGACGACAAATAGACCGAAAAAAAATCAAAGAGACTAAAAATTTGTTACCAAAACGTATCACAACGATACTTTTTGACATCAAATTTGAAGTCATTTTGATTTTTTTCTTTTTTCGATCGACCAGATCTGTTTCACCGCCCAAAAAAACATCATTATCAGCCGGATTTCTCAATTTTTCGCTAAACCACGGGGCTTTTTTCAACATCAGCCTTCAGCAAATCTATTTATAAATATCCTCGAGTGTTCGCACCCACTTTTTTCTTACTTTCCGTTGCTTTTACAAAGAATTCCACTGTACAGTTACTATACCGTTCCAGTGCCATTCTTTCTTCAATATTTTTTTTCTATTTTTATCGTCAGCATTACTTTTTACACCTCTATCTTTGCTGATTTCCCAATTTTAACCTATGTCAAGGCAAAAAACCTACAAAATTTGTACGTTCACGTGTTCCATCAGCAGTTTTTTATACAATTCTGTTTGGATTAGTAGCAGTTAGTGCCAATGCTATTCTCGGGGCCGCACTTTTTACTTTCGGGTTTTGTATTTTAGCGCTCCTTGACGGCTACGATTTTTTTGGCATGACAAAAAACTACAATAAAAAAGATTGTAAAAACGTTGTAAAAAATGTAGAAAAAGTAGTAATCAAAATTTCTTCAACTCATGCGTGGTACACTATGGCACGCAGCAAACAATGGGTCGCTACAATCCGGCCAAAACCGTTCAAGTGGTATTTCATTTGGCCAAAAAAGTGTCGCAAAACTGGCCAAAAAAAAATCAAGCGAATAAAAAACAATAATGGAGGCTAGCTGCTACTGCAGTGACGGACCTGATCCAGTGGCAAAAAACGTACCATTTTGCATCCGGGAAGTATCAAAAAATGTAGCGAAATACCTCCCTCTCCAAGTAAAGAAACGCCAATTTCAAAAATGTGCCCGCTCTTTTTGGGGCACGCTTTTGAAATTGGAGTTTTTCCACTTGGATAGGGAGGTATTTTGCTAGACTTTTGATGCTTCCCAGATGCAAAATGGTACGTTTTTTGCCACTGGATCAGGTCCGTCACTGCAGTTAGAAGTTAACGTCCATTATTGTTTTTTATTCTCTTGATTTTTGGCCAGTTTTGCGACACTTTTTTGGCCACATCCGCCGATGTAAGCAACTTATTATTGTGCACTGCGCAATCGTTATTTGCATTTATTATAAACAATATTACAGTAACTTTCCATTTATAGAAAGCTCAGTGTAAAAGATTAAAAACCTCTTCTTTTCGGCTATTTTAAAACAAAATACCAAAAAAATTGTTTATAGAGTTCCCCGTTACTACATTTAGTTTGTATTACAACGCTCAAAGTAAAAAAACCCCCAAAACAATACTAAAAAAACGTAAAACCCCTGGTTTTCCTCAAAAACAATATAAAAACTCCAGAGATTTCAGCTTTTCCTCCAAACCAAGGCTGTTTTTCGTATCTGTTGGCGTACAAATCCATTATAACCATCACTCCCCTCTTCACAACATGATTTTTTCATTCTTTTTTCCCAAATTTCCATTTCCAAATTTTTTTATTTTGAAACCGTAATCGGTGCCGCTTTGGGCTACAAAACGAGCCGATTACGCCCGATTTGACGACAATAAAATCGCAAAACATATTTCTCCAGGACCATTAGCACAATCGAAATTTTATGGCCACAGCTAAGCGCCGGAATTTCACAAAATCATGTTTTTTCATGAGGTGTTAATGCAAATATTTGAATTAAATTTGACAAATCATAATCCCTCAAAGTATCATTGTACTGTATCTTACAACATTTCACAAAAAAGGGCGACTGACATCAGAAACGAGAGGATTACAGATACGATCGTTGCAACAGCCCCAAGTAGGATTATATTGCGCATTCTTTTTATAATATCGATCAATCTGTGCGGGCGAAAACGCACATTGAGAAAATCTATGGGTCCCATATTGCAGTAGGCAAAATTGGAAAAATTTCTTATTTTTTACATCTAACATATTATAACATAAGAAAATGTCTCAAAATATTATTCAAGCCTCTACACGAAGCTGTCAGATCAAATCATCAAATTTTAGTTAACCTTCAGCCCAAAACAAAAATGTACTAGGAGAAAATCCCCTCTAATATCAAATCTTCCCTTCACATCAAAGTAAAGTCGCACCATCTTCGAGCCACAAGCCTTCATTAACGTTCATCAGCCCCTCTCCTACTCAAAAATCCCATCAAATCCCCAAAAGCTCCCTATATTTCACATGCCACTACCCAAATTCCTCATACCCCGCGGTCGTACAGCTGGTATGCAAAGAAAACTAAGCTTAACCGATGTGTACTTTGCTTAAATATACGCTCTACTTGTACTCTTACCAAAAACAAAAAGGAATTGAGAAAAACCGGTCGGAATCCATGTACTTTTATATTGCATTTACATTGAAAAACATACACTTTCGCGAATGCACGAGCATTCTCAAGTGCCCTAGCTTGTCCAACGCCTTTGCTGCAGCTTTCACCGTTCACAAACCGCAAAAAACTTGAAATTTTTGGCATTTTTGAATATTGTACTTGACAAAAGTCTTATCAAGTGTAAAAAGGTACAAAATTCTTGCATACCCGAAGCTCCTGGTTCTGGCGAGGGCTTTTTGATGGGCTCCGAGGCCATGGAGACGGCTGCGGGAGCAGTTACAGTCGAGCTCGAGGTGGTTGGGACATCATTGGCCATGGCATTCGACATGTCCCGGATTCTATCCAGGACGGATCTAGTTGACGGTGGTGTCGTTGACAAGACGTCTGGCCGTTCATATGACCTAAAAAAATCAAGATTTCGATTTGATTCTAAATTTCAGAAAGCGTGAAAGCGGCAGAAACTTACTGAGAAAGTGGTGGGCTGTTGTAAGTAAATATGCTAAAAATAAGGAAAGCGGTTAGTAAAGGCGTAAATTAAAAGCGATTAACATCATTTTGAGGTACCTGAAACCTCTTAAACCCCTCTTCATATAAAAAAATACATCACCATTAAACTTTTTTATATTGATTTAGACATCAATCACTAAAATTTGCCAAAAAATCTAAAATTTCTTTTATCCCAAAAATCCGAAGGCCTCAATTTGATAAATAAAACCCATTACACCTCCGACAAAGCAATAATACACTTTTAAACCTTAATTTTCTCTCAAAAAAAAATCTCAAAATGCACTTACGGAACTCTCAATGGAGGTATAACATTTGATGCCCGCTCTTCCGTATACGGAGCAGCTCTGAACCGTCGATTTACACTCGAATCCCTGGGTTCTGTTCTGCTCGTTCCTTGTGGCAAAATCGAGGACAATCTTGTCAGCTCTTCTCGGTTGGCGGCCAAAGTTGCCTCCAATCTAGCGATTGTTCTCGCATTATCCGCCATTTCTCTTCTTCTTCTTCGGCGCTCATCGTCCGATTCTGAGTCGCTCTGCTCTGGGATGGTCCTCGCTTCAGCCAGCTGATTTCTGAGCTGATCCATGTCCACTTGAATACCCGTTAAGCGGCGATTTCGGTCTCGAATTGCGTTTAACCGACTGTTAATGTCTCGGAGAACGCTGTCGTCGCTGGAATTCTGTTCTCTTCCGGATAATGGCGACCTCCTCGTAGACGTTGGAGCCGAAGAGACTGTGAGATGTTCATCTTCCGGCAATTGGACGCGAACCCCGTATTCATTGGCCAGATTATTCAAACGGCTAAGCTCACTTGAAGAGGATCTTCGAGGTGGTGTAATGACATTTAATTCCACTGGAGATTGAGATAATGGGACTAGAGGACGCAGCGAGATCTCTGAGAAGTCTAAAAACCAAAACAATCAAAGAAAAAACAGCAAAACTTACCAGTCAACTTCACTTTGACAGTGGAGCCATACAGGTCAAAAAACATCCAAAGAGGGATAGATGTGTCCACAAACATGATTGTCCTGGGTTCATAACCGTTTTTGGAGAACATTACTTCACCTGAAAAACAAACAAGATCAGAATTTTTCATTTGAACCACAATTTTATCATGGGCAACACAATCAACTCAAGAATAATATAAACCATATTCGTACCCGTTGCTGTGACCCAAAATGTCGCTGTCTCGTTAGCCTTCGGATTCACAGCCACATTTTTGATGCACGTCCAGTACTCTTTCCTGTCCAATAACATATCCGAATCCCTAGGGAGCTCATCGACATTGGTGATACTATCGGGGTCACAACTTGTCAATCCGAACGCCATGGAACCTCCAAACTCGGATTCGTGTTTCTGAATTAACAGCGAAACTTTTTCCTCCGGATTCACCGGTCGATGCGAGAAAACGTAGGCTTGGCAAAAGTCGGCACCAATCCGAGTTGCAATTGAATTATTCCTGGTTAAAACAACATTTCCAGAGTGTCTTCGATGAAATTTGAGATCTAAACAACAAGAAGAATAAATAAAAAGGGTTACCCCACCTGAAGCGTGAAGATTTTCGACCGCTGGTTCGAGTTCTTCGTCCGAACTCGAGCTTCGAATATCAGGTAGATCTACTTGATTTATTCTTGCAAAATCTGAAATAAAAATTGTTATTTTATCTAAAAAATGTTATCAAAATTTGGTGAAAAGCATAAAATAACCTACCCATAAGCTCCAGCGACTTGCAATTCCCATAGAGATCGAACATGGCCCAAATTTGTCCTCGGACATTAATTTTCGATATGAAAACTCCTTGATTCTCCGCGTTGACGCCGTAAGACAAGTTCCCATCACCGTCAACGGAGAAGTGAAGAACTTTCCCTTGGACGGAGAACCTCTCCGGTAAGGTCTTACACCAAAACCCGCCTTTCGAAGTGAGATCAGGGCATGCGAACCTAAAATACTATGTAGAAGAAGGAAGAACTCACTTTGGCAGTTCAATATCTCGGAATGAAGCTGGATCCACACTCGTGACTCCGAACCTCATGACCCCCGACCATTGTGCCGAGACTTCCGAGAGCCGGACACAAACTATTTCATTCACCAGAATAGGTCTAAAACAAGATTGATAAGATCGAAGTGCTGCCTAAAACCAAAAGAAAACGAACTCAAAAGTTACCTGTTGCTAAAAACAACTCCTTTACAAAACGAATGCTCTCTCCGGGCAGTTCTTCCATTCGAATTCAGCTTCACATATTCTCCATGAATCGAGTTGAACTCCAACGGAGGCTGAGGATTCTGATCGGTGCCACGGTTCACCGACACCGATGAGCCGCGAAGAAACAGATCTTGCGGATCCGTCCCTTCGACCATCCTCTCTGAAATCGGACCGGATATTAGAATAGGGAATCGATTCGGAAAAGAATTCCTTTCACATAAATCAACAACTAAAAATGAGAGGCAAAAATAATCGAAATACCAAAAAGACTTTTTGTTCTACTCTTCGTGGACGGGGAAGGGGGTTGGAAATTGACATAAAGTATATTTTTCGGGAGGAAAATCCATATGGGTTCGGTTTGCAGAAAAAAATTTTTTAGATAACAAATTTAGAAAAACCAACGGAATTTTCGGGAGACTGATTGAAACTTGTAGTTTTCTTGGTTGAAACATTGTAAAATATGCCCTTTTAGATGGGCCGTGTAAAAATTCCAGAAAATTTTGAGACTAAAAATATCGTTATGACGGATTTTCTGGAAATTTACGAAATTATGACGGATTTTTTGGATTTTGAAGGAAAATCACCGAAAAATGGTTACAAAGTAAAATTTAGAGGTTTTTATGCACTTTTACACTACTTTTCAGAACAATATTTCGGTATACAGCTGTAAAATTCACAACATGTAACTATGATGACATTACTCCGGACTCGTGACATTGCTTCACGGACAAAAACAAACGAAAAAGAGACCTGAACGTGCGGGTGTATTACCCATTTCTTCTCCTGACGTGAGGCGGGGAGCAAAGACTTGGTTCGGCCTGAAGGGGGATCAGCTGGGGATGGGCCTTTTCGCAATCAACTCATTGCCCTCCGCGGGTTCGCTTTCTCTCGGCTCGCTGAAAAATCATTTGACATTCCTCTTCCTCTCTCGAGACGGTTCTGGCACGAGGTTATTGAGCGGTGCACTCATCAATTACACGTTTTTTTACACACAGTGCAAAGAAATTGGGGAAAAGTTAAAGTTCGGACATTGCACTTGCTGCGGCAGTGCAAAACCATTAAAAATTATTAGGTTTAGAGCTTCGAAAGCCTCTCAATTCTTTTGATGACAAATATGATCTTCTCACATGTTTTTTGCCTAACGAATTTCCCGATTTTTCCAAAAAATCAAAAAAAAAATATTAATTTTCAAATAAAAACTCTAAAACGTCAATTGAGAAAAGAAAATACAGACAGAAGGAAGGGAATCGAGAGTTTAAAGGTCTTTACAGCAACCCTGACTTCCCGAAAAAAAACGATGATCTTCTGTTGTAATTATTTTTCGGCGGCTTGGCACGGATTGGAGGTTATGAAATACGGTAAAACAGTTTAAATTTTTATTTTAAAGCAATCCAGAAAATGTTAGAATTTGGAAAATCATGAAGTACCTTTTAATTTGAGGTAAAACCCGAAAATTCAAAATTGCCCTCAGGTAAAATTTCAAAGTATGTTTTAAATTTTGCATACATGCTCTATCTAGCAAACACTTTCATTCCTGTGTATTTTAGCTTGCTTCTTGTAGGTACAGTCAAAATATTTAAGGATCATTGCAGATGAGAGATTATAAGTCCGTTCGTAAAGTCGCTGGAGTGATTTCGGCGACCTGCACTGTGCGGAAAAATTCAGGGTGCGAGCGACAGCCCAAAAATCTTATTGCACGGTGCAAAAAGCAAGAAACTGCACAGTGCAAAGTGAAATTTTGTTTTCGCACAGTGCATGTCGCGAAAATCACTTCAGCGACTTTGCGAACGGGCTCGTATGGGAAATGAAGAGAGACGGAGAGAGAAGCAAAACATTCTTTCACGATTTCTCTGTCAATTTTATTTTTGAAGGAATTAAATTATTACAAAATTTTTTTTTATTTTTATTTTTTTTTTTTTTTTTTATGAAAAGAATCAAAAAAATTGTATCTAATCTTTTTTAACCCCGGAAATTTGGAAAAAAGCGAAATTCTTGGCCTAAAATGTAGGCGTTTTCTGCAAACCGCGAGCTAAAAAATGCCGCGTCATCCAAAAATTTCTAAAATTTCTTTAGCAAGCCAATTTTGATCTCAAATTCAATGTCATCATTACTTTGTATGTACAACATAAACAATATTTACTGTGTAAATATACCCTTTTTTTAAGACGGCTACTTTCTTCAACAACTTTGACTCATATGATCTTGTCAAAAGTCTCTTTCGCATTGTTATTGTTTTGTCATTGAGAACGTCAGGGCTCTTTCGGCCAGCCGAGATCAGATAAAACCGCTGGAATGAGGAGAGGAAAGGCCGACGTACCCGGTACGGATCGACCCCAATCCCGTGACTTTTCGGCTATACCACTTTTTAAAGATCGAGTTCGGTAAAAAATAAGAGATGAGGAGGAAAAAAGAAATGTCTTCTTTGTTTCTAAAGGTTTGGATTTTATACCTTGCGCCAGCGGTAAAATGAGAGAGACCAAAGAGCAAGAGGAGCGCAAAAATTTAAAGAAAACGTACGATAGAAAACCTTGCACAATGTAATCGGAGGTGACCAAAAAATAATTCGTTATAGATAGCTTTCACTCCACAGAGGTTCATTTTGGATTGAAATTTACTATCGAGACCTCTGAGCGGTATAGAGGGACTTAATTTTATAGAAAAAATTAAAATTCTGCAAAAATTCGCTGTTAAAAAAAGGAAAAATTCGAATTAGATTTTAAGAGGTAGTGGAAAAAATCCCGCGCCAATTTTTTTCAAACTCTGGCAAAATGGACTATGTAAGGATGACATCTCAATCTTTCAAAATTTTAGTCATCCCTTTGCCCCAAAGCCGGGATATTCAACTTGCACATGGGATTATGGGAATTGAAGAGAACGGATAGAGAAAAAAATACCTAGTGATCGTTCTGAGCTGCTTAGAAAAAGCAATCTTTTGTGAAAATTTTAGCAAGTCAAAAAAATTTAACTTCAAAAAATTCTACTATAATTTTTTCTAATTTCTGATCAAAAAATCGTCATGATTTCTGCTAATATCTCAAGAATTTCTTCGAAAATTTTAGAATAAATTGCAAATTTACCCTCCAAACCACAAGAAATCTCCTCAATTTACCTCAGAACTCTAAATTCCTACCGAAAATTCGCCAAACTCGTAAGAAAACAAACCCGAGCTGTCAATAAACCCTCGTAAAGTGAATGGTAAAACAAAAGTTTTCTCGACGCGCAGGGGTTCTCCCAAGACCGGAACCATTCCCTTCCCTCCAAACTAATTCCAATTTTAACCCACTTGCGCGAGGGGTGAAGGACGAAAAGCTCTGGCCATCGCGTCCATTTCGGCTCGATCGAGGGGAGAATAAATGGAAAAACGAAAGCCTAAATTAATGATCTTCGGTTCGCGTGGCATGCGGATTTGAAATTGGAGAGCATGCGGAAAGAGTTAAAGGGTGGTAAAAAGAAAGGAAAAAAACAAAAACAAAGTAAAATCCAGAGATTTTTTTTGTTACAGTATCCGCTAAGAATCTTTTTTTTCAAAATTTCAGTTGCTCAAAAACACACTGTCCCAACCTTTTATCCGTATTTTACAATAAATTTTCAATTTTTGATGACTTTTGTCATCAAAAAGCCCCTAAAAAAGGAAGGTGTTCAGATTTCCTTCAAATCTTACACACATGCTCTGTCTACATCGCAAATCAAGTCTTCAAAATATGGGGTGATAATTTACAAACGCAGCCATTCAACGATCTTTGGAAACATGAAGCTATGCAAGAAAACCAGGCAAAAAAAATAATCTTTGACAACTCAATTTCAAATTTAGCGAAGAGAAAATTAATGCTTTTTGGAAACGATGTTCTCTAAATTTTGAAAAGACACCGATTTTTAGCCTTGAAAAGCGCAAAAAATTTGCGAATTTTCGGTTACTCTTCATTTGAGACAGATCGGGCAAAGATCGAATTTTCCTAGTCGTATTGCAAAATTGTTTTAGTTAGTAGCTCATAACTTCAAATTGCAAGCATTTTTAAAAATTTTTGCCGTTTGGCCAGCCAGAAAATTGAATTGGCTAGCTTTTTTGAGGCTCCACAGCGAATGAAATCTGTAAAGATATACTAACTGTAAAGTTGCAGAATTTTTGCCTAAATTCCAAAAAATAAAGCCACAATTTTTTCATATGGGTTATTTTTCGAAAATTTTCTTTTACTTTGGCCCAAATTTCATCACATTTCTTTACATTTTTTTTGATTTCTTAAACTTTTCAACCAAAAAATCTCAATTTTTTAATATTTTTACGATGACAATTACGAAATACCTCCCTCTGCACCCAAAATTGTGGCAAACAAGAAAAAGTCGATCCATAAAACGGGTAATCTTAATAAATGCATGAATAAAACGTATGACAGGTTTTCCGTTTTTCCACAACAGCTGTTCGTTCTATAAAAGAATTGGGGGGATTCGAGGGCGTTTTGAGGAGGGAAGTCAAACAGATCAAGGAAGCGAGAGGTGAAAGTTCTAAATCCACCCCCATCGCAGATGAAAACTCCGGGAGGGATTCTGGGGCAGTAAAAAATTTGATTTTACCCAACAAAATCTTGTTTTCGGGGGAAAAAAATTGGTCGATTTAGGCTCAAAACGCTCTCAAACAGCAAGCATTATCATAACAAGCAAAAATATAAGTTTTTTACTTCACAATTTACTGTAATTTTAATTGTAATCACAAAATTCTTCCAAAAAATCATCAAAATATGTTGTTTTTAATAAAATTGATATAAAATATAATGCAAAACGGCTTTTTAGGTCTTTTCTATCACTCTATCATTATCAAAGTCGTATTGCTGAACAGTTGTTTGACTTATGACGCATTCCAGGCCCTCTTTTTATGCGTTTCATTGTGTTTTATTCGCCAATAAACAATTCACTTGATGGATTGGGGTTAAGCCATCAACACCTGGAGCTTTACAGGGTGAAATAAGGTCGGCTATGGGGGTAAAATAAAGAAAATAAATGGTTATGGTTGTAAAAAAAAAATATTTCTCAACATGATCTTATGATCTTAGAAAATTGAAAAAAAAATTAATTTTTTTTTTCAATTTTTACCCAAAGATCTTGATAATTATCCCCTTTGAATTACAACATCTCCTTCATAAATTATTTTATTGTCATAAATAACCATAAAAGTCTGTAAAATCCATAAATAAATAACAAAAATCACAGATTATCCAACAAAATCCCCTTAACTCTCAAAAAATCTCAAATTTCACACCCTTCTAACACATTTCGTATGGACAGCAACATCCCTAAGGAACGATATGTTCTCTTGATCCAAGCTTTCTCTACAAATGTCACAACGATCCCCCTCTTTCGTCCAGAATCCCTTCTTTTCCTTCTTTGTGTGAGCTGTTGTTGATATTACACATTCATTCAGTGCTTCTCTGATCTTCAATGTTTGGAGGTCAGATTCTACCCGTTCGATGGAATTGTGGATCACTGTAAGGAGTTCAGCCGGGGATGCCGAAGAGAGTTTGGGAAATAATTTTTCGACTCCTCTGAAGGGGCGAGTCTGCGAAAGAAGGTGGAGGAATCGGTTTTGGAAGGTGGGATCTCTGGAAAACAAGGTTAGAAGAGAGGCTAGAAGGTATTATATTTCGATCTACTTGGCACTAATATTGAACAAATTTTTTAAAGATACAAGTATGCGGGATTTCCAGCTCCGACTTTGCAGAAAATTCATGTCACGAACTAACCAAAAATTTTCCCAAACTATAATATTTACTTAGCCCTCCGGAAAGTCGCTGAATTTCCTCTAAAGATACCGGTCGTTTCTGAGTAGCGCATTTTTAAAAAAAAACCCCTCCGGAAAGTCGCCGGACTGAAAACAGCGACATGCACAGTGCTTCATCTGGAAGGTCAGTATATTATGACCGTATAAATTTTTGTTTCCATCCTAATTATAAATCTATACTGAATCCTTTACAGCAGAAACAGGGACTAAAATTTACAAGTTCACTATACCGACCATATGAAGATGAAGATGGTCAAATACATCGGAAGTTCAGAAAAAAATACCGTATAACGAGTTTGTAAGAAAATTTGGTTGCCTGCCTAATATGTCAGATTGGTCAGAAAGGCTCCACCGATAAAATACTTGTCCCAACTTCATATTACAGCATTATGATCACTCTACAGACGCATAATTTGGGTAAAACAGTAGCCATATTTGTATTTTACCACTTACTTTTCTTCCTTCAGATAAAACGGTGCAATAATGTAGACAATCTCCGGCTTTTGATCGCAAAATCGAAGGAATAAAGCTTCAGCAAGATCCAGATCCTCTTCCAATAACGAACTCAGTCTCTCTACCACATTTTCCAGCTGAAAATTTCATGTACAATATTGATACCATACATAGCGTGCTTCACCATATCGCAGTTTACACTTACTTTTGATGAGAAGACGGCATTTTCAAACTTCAAACACTCATTTTTCTTCAAAATTTCCGCAATTTCCTCCGAATAATTGATATTAAAGATGAGATTTCTAAAGTCTCTCCTTAGATTCTGGTCCAACAAATCTTCTTCAATCAATTTCGAGTAGATTCTTATGACTTCGATCAAGACATCATGCGACTATAACAAAAAAAATTTGTGAAAACGGCATCAACATACCACATCTTTACCCAAAAGATTTCGGGAGAAATAATCGATGACAAATCTCTTGCTATGTGTGTTGAAATTGGATAAAATCCATTCGAAATCCAAGTTTGGCAGCTGATTTATAATTTCCATCGCGTTTTCCGGGGATTTCGGGGCCAGCCACTGCAGGGTTTTTTGGATTAGACAGGGCTCATCCAACCTAAAATAAGGTCATCAAAGTGAGTGATAATGGAATTATTGCCGTCTTTAGGTCTTAAAATGTCAAATTAGAGTTGACTCGTTGAGTTAAGACCAGATTCAATTGCCATGGTAGAAAAAAAGTTGCAAAAACACAAAAAATCATCATTTTTCAAAAAAAAGGTAAAATAAGATTAAAAAACGTGCTATTTTGACTGTAAAATCTTCATTATTTACTCTCAATAAAATTCCCTACCAAAACAAACTTACATTGTTCCCAATCGGAACATTAATCCATCGAAATCCACCTTTTTTCCATCATTTTTCTCCGCAAACTCCTTCCAAATTTCCAATCCCTCATGTTTCAGCCCATTCTCAAAACAAATCTCGGCCGCCAACGAGTGATATCCATTCTCCAGGATCCATTCCCTAAGCTCGTCATCGAATAACAAGCTTTCGTTGAGGTGATCCAAATTTATTTTATCCATGAGGAGTTCCAATCTGATCAGATACGACATAATTTCATTTTTCGTTTCATTTTCTTCCGATTTAAGTAGCGATGCCTCCAAAAACTCCATAATCTTATCATCCGCGAGCTCAATTTCTTTGAATATCATCTCCTGCGCAGCTTGCGTGTTCAATTTTCGGATTCTTGACAAGATTACGATTGGATCTGCGTCCGACTCGATAAATAATCTGAGGCCTTCGTCTTGGTCTCCTTCCTCAATGTATTTCACAGCCATTTTCTCGAGGAATGTTTGGATAAACTAAAAATCAAAAAATAATAATAAAAAACTCACATTTTGAACTTTCGAATTATGACACAACGCTGATTTCAGCTTTTCCAAGGCTTCAAGGCCTTTTTTCGGATCCTCTTCGTACAACTTTTGGATCTAAAATACAAATTCACAATTGAAGATGTTTGGTAAACTCACATAACCTTCATAATCCGCAAGATCCAGCTTCATCACCACCTTTTCATCGGTCAAAAGATATACTCCATGCTCAGTGGAAGTGACATGCGATAAATTCGGAATAGAAATCGAAACTTTGAAGGTTTCATCATTTAAACTAAAAAATAACATCAAAAACAGAGTAGAAAACATACTTGTAAATGAGGAGATGATTGTGTCCAACCACATATAAGAGTGGATCAATAAAACAGACTTGAAGAACATTAATATTTGTCGATATGGGTGGCCGATTTGAGACTCCTTTTGAGTCGACAAAGACTAAGAGACCATCATCGGCACTTATACAGTATTCATCCTAAAAATTAGAAACAAAAATAATTTTTTTCGACCAGCTCACCCTTCTGATTGCTTCAATTATCGCTTTATCCTCTGTAGCTATCAGTTCATGATGTTCTCTCGCTCCACCTCTCAACGAGACAACAAAATACCTCGAATCCATCACATAGCAGATGGAATTCGCACTGAAACTCAACAACGAAACTTCTCCAGAAACATTTATCTTCTCCAACACGTCCACTGTAACTTCTTTGTCCTCCTGCGTTCGTTTGCAAATGAGAATGCTCTTTTTGTTAGTCGCCACGGCAAATAAAACCCCTTCGGCGGCGGTCTGACCAATAGAATCAGCATTCACGGCCATTGAAAGAACAGAACCCGCTCCAGTTGTCGCTAACAACTAAAAACATAAAAAATATTGGGAAAAAAACTTACAGTCAGAGTTGATTCTGTTATGTGAACAATTCCGTCAGCCACTACGGCCATCAACAAGTCGTTGTGCGGGACATACGATAGTTGCTGTATGGCGTTTTGCTAAACTTCAATTAAGATTAAATTTTTTCAGATGTAAACTTACACTTGAAAGCATAACGCTTTTATCGTAAACAAGCTGATCTGCTTCCATTCGACAACGGATCAATTTGCCTTTATGAGTCCCGAATATTACTTTATCTTTTGTTCCAGTGAAGGAAATGACCTTTCAAAATTAATATTATTTTAGACATGCCCACCGGATCATCCGTCGATTTTTGGCCAAAATTTGCGACAATTCGGGGCTCGAACAAGTGCATTTTACCATTGAAATCGGGCTTATAAACATTGACTACAAGATCAGAAAAATCTTTTATTTATTTTTATGCGGCTAGCTGCGCCCGTGCTTGAAAACTGCGCCGTCTATTTTCTACGATCAAATATTTCAAAGTGTCCAGAATATCCGTCTGTATGACGAAATTATGGATTTGATCTGTCGTTTGCAATTTTTCGCCCGAACTGCTAAGCCTTCGGCAAAAGTTTAGCTTCATCATCGTTGTCTTCTGAATTTCCCGCTTTTCTCGAGTTTTTTGCACAGTGCAATGTTATGCTGGCCATTTTTGCCGTGTTTATATCAAATTTGCGCAATATTACGCTCCTTTTTTGTTTCAGTAATGGCTAATAAACAGTCGGCGACCATTGAGCAGCTTGCGGCCCGTCTCGGCCGCATGGACGTGAACCAGCTCATGGCGCACAATGAGAAGGCCCTGCTGAAGAAAGGACTCAAGAAGAAGGATGCGGTTGCTCCGACGGTGGCGCCCGGAACCCTGGGCAATCAAGACAGCGTGTGGACGAACGTGTATCCCGTCAGAGTACCCGACGGGATCAAGGTCTTCTACTATAAGATCAAGGTGGAAGTTGGCGTCAAGCCGAAGTCTTGTGTGGATCAGAGGTGGTTCGACATTACCGCGGATCGTAAACACGAGTAAGTTGCTTGGGAAGTTGATTGGTTTTTCATGAAAATGCCGTCTTCTTCAATTTTCTTCCATTTTTAGAGTCGATGCTCGCAATTTGATGAGGATGGCTTACGATGTTGTTCAGCACGTTGTGGCCACCAACCATGATGTGTTCCTGGACCCGAAGAAAGTCGCTTACGATGGAAAGAATAATTTGTATGCTTTTGGACAACAATTGGAAATCAGAGATGGTGTAAGTTTCATTTTTGGTTTTTTTTTGGTTTTTAGGTAAGAATTATGTTCTTGGATCAACAAAATAAATCCCACGATTTTTTCAGGACGTCACAATTCTCGAAATTGAAGCTGAAGACGACTTCAAGCCTATGAGACGTCCCTACAAGTCGGCCAAGGTTACGATTGAGACATTACGTCGGTTCTCCAACCTGAGCGATGCCAACGACCCCTATGTTCAGGCCATGATTTTGTCGTTGGATGCACTGACGAGTCAAGGCTTTATGAAGTCGTTGGATCATGCGTTCTCCGCTCCGCAGACTGCTTATCTTTTCGAGCCCCGAAAGTATGGATTTGACGCTAAAGATCTATCACTTCCGGCGCAAAGTGAGGTTGGAATTGGGGGCCACAAGACCTGCAAATTTGTGAGCGCTAACGGAAAACCAGTCTTGGGAGCCGTTTTGAAGGGTGAGTTTTGGTTTGGCAATGATTTTATGCGGGTTGGAAGAGGATAGCATGGAATTATGAGAGGTTTGAGATCTCCTTTTTACTCATGGAGAATATAATTTTTTGTTTTTTTCAGCCAAGAAGAGCCCGTTCTACGTCAAGATGTGCATCATCGACAAGGTGCTCTCAGCTTGGCCAGATATTGTCGATAATCCGTTTGGTTACATGGACGGCCTCAACGACATGCTCACCGGTCTTGTGATGGAAGGCAAGCACTGCAACCTCGCCTGGCCGCTTCAGATCAAATGTGTCATAAGGGAGAGTGCCGCCGAGAAATGCTTCACAATGCCCGACAACTCGTTGGTTTCGGTTCAGGACTACTACAAGAACCAGTATGGAATCACGTTGCAGTATCCTCAGCTGCCATTGATTGAGGTCGGAGCGCGTGGAAAGGAGAGTTCCTTCCATCCCATGGAGTTGTACTACATCTGTGCGGCTCAACGTGTCAAGAATCGCCATTTGCACTATTTGACGGCGGATTTGATCAAGGTAGGTTGATTTTTTTTTGGTTTAGGTTTTTACTAGTCCTCCCGGAAAGTCGTCGGGCTGATTTTTTTTCGTTTGCTCTAAATTGCACAGTGCAAAGTGAACTTTTGTGTTCGCACAGTGCAAACGCCAAAAATCAGTCCGGCGACATGCACTGTGCGAGATCAACTTTTTGGCGGTTGCACTGTGCGAAAAAGTCAGGGTGCGAGCGACAGCTCAAAAAAGCCTATTGCACGGTGCAAAAAGCAAATAATTGCACAGTGCAAAGTGAACTTTTATTTTCGCACAGTGCAAAGCGCCAAAAATAAGTCCGGCGACATGCACTGTGCGAAATCAACTTTTTGGCGGTTGCACTGTGCGAAAAGGTCAGGGTGCGAGCGACGGCTCAAAAAAGCCTATTGCACGGTGCAAAAAGCAAATAATTGCACAGTGCAAAGTGAACTTTCATTTTCTCGTGTCGCCGATTTTAGGCATGCGCCCTGCTCCCTCGAGACGTCCAAAATCAATTGAGTTCCGTCCGCAATTTGTTTTGCTTCGACGCCAACGATCAAATGAGGGATCTCGGAATCAGCATTGATGAAACCCCGGCTAAAGTAAGTTTCATTTGTAGTTTGAATAGTCTAAAGTGTCGTCAAAGAATTATCGATCATATTTTTCAGGCTCCGGCAAGACGAATTGCCGCTCCAGGCATCAGCTATCGCGGCCGAATGCAAACCGTGGATCCCGCGCAGAGCACCTGGAAGGGAGGCCCTTATGTTTTGCCCCGAAACGAAGTCCGATGGGCTCTCTACAGTGTGCAGGAGAGACCTGTTCTCCAGCAACAGGGCCTCATCCAGTTCGGTCGACAGTTTCTTGAAGCTCTGCAAGGCAAGGGGGTGAATATTGGAGAGCCCGGAGAGTGTGTGTCCCACAGATACGAAGGAAATGAGACCTTTGAGAAGCTGATCAAAAGAGCCAAGAATGGAAAATGCGATATGGTCATGTTTGTCACCCAGAAAACGCTGAAAATTCAAGGTGAGTCTAGTGTAATATAAGGTGGAGGATTTTTTATATTTTTTGATTTAAATTATTATGTTTGTTCGTTTAGATACGATCAAACAATGGGAGCAAACTTTGGACATTATCACTCAAAATGTGACCGTTGACACCGCCCAGAACGCTGCTGGAATCCGAGGCCCACCCAGAAGATTGACCATGGAGAACATTGCCAACAAGTTTAATGTGAAACTTGGCGGTCTCAACTACCGAGTCATTGATTCCCTTCAACGCAAAACTGTCGGAGAGAACGATCTCTTCGTTGGAATCACGCTTGGTCGCCCATCGATTGGGATGTACGAGGCCAGAGAATACATGACCAACTTTGATATGGACGGAGCTCCAAATGTGGTCGCTTTCATGGCCAATGACCTTGCGGACTCGCTGGCTTTCACTGGAGATTACATCTATCAGCATCCGAAGATGCAGGAAGTGAACATTGAGAATGTTGAAAGGATCGTAAGGGAAACTGTTGGAAGGTACGTCAAGAACCGCGGAAGAAAACCACAAAACGTCTGGATCTTCCGTTATGGTGTCAACGAGGGGATGTACGATGTGGTAAGTAGATATATTCTGATGTTTTGGTCCTTGTTTTAGTTGGGCTTGAGGTTGTTTTCACTCATTTGACAAGGAAAGTACCTCTATGAGGTATGGAGTTACAGGTCGAGTCATATATTAGCATTTTCATAAAGTGCATGGACTTTTCGTCGCTCGCCGCACTGTGCAAGAAAAAGGTCGACTGCACAGTGCAATTTGATTTTTCAAACAAAATCGCTGCGACACAAGCTTTTTTTCATTGCGCCGCCGCGAAACTTGAGACAATTGCACCGTGCAAAAACGTTTTGAAAAGGATCGTGTCGCGCGAAGAAAGCGATATGCACAGTGCAAAAGTCCATGCACTTTATGAAAATGCTAATATCAAAAAAAAGCGCAAAATTTTTCTGATTCAGAATATGTAAAAGTTAGGTGCCTAATTTTGGTTTGTAAGGGTGAAAAAATCCTCAGAAGTTTTTACGCAACACCACGCAAATGCCTTTTTGACAAAGTTTTTTCCAAATCAAAAGCTTTGTTTTGAGCTAATGTTAACCGTTGACAAACCTTAAGATTTCAAATTTGATTGATACTACACCTTTTAAGGTATTAAAATTAGTAATTCCAATATAAAAAAGGGGAATTTGTGTGGTGTTTCGAGAAAAGTTCTGAGGATTTTTTCACCCTGACAAACCAAAATTAGGCAGCTAACTTTTACATATTTTGAATCAGAAAAATTTTATGATTTTTTTGATATATGACTTGACCTGTAACTCCATACCCCATAGAAGTACTTTCCTCGCGAACTCATTTTTGACATTGTTTTAGATTCTGTCGCAAGAGATCCCCTTGATTGAACATGTCCTCAAGGAACTGGGGTGTGGAAATCTGATTTACATTGCTTGCCTCAAGAATCACGGTGTGGACTTTCTTTCCGGCAGATACAACGGAAACAAACCCACCGAACAGAACCTTCCGTATGGCGTTGTGATTGATAGAGTGATCACCCATCACAAGTATGCCGAGTTCTACCTCCTCTCTCACACTGCTCGTCTCGGGACTGCCAAGGTCCCCAAGTACACAATCCTCGCCAATCAGCCCTCACTCAGCATGGATGAAATCCAAAATATCACATTCAGCTTGTGCTTTGCCCATCAGATTGTCACCACGTCCACGAGTTTGCCAACTCCCGTTTATTGCGCTGAAGCCTTGGCTGATCGTGCTAGAAGGAATTGGAGCTCCTCGGCGAAGGCTGTTTTGTAAGTTCTGAGGATTTTTTTAGGGGTTGTTGAGGCTTGGGTCTAGTGTAATATAAAATTTTGGCTGAAATGTGAATATTTTTGTTTTGAAATGTTTTTTTGTCATTTTATGATAGTTTTAGTCAAGAGGAGGGTAAAATAACATTGATTTTTCTTATTTTATTACTTTTGTTTTCCAGGGATCAAGCCGTCCAAGAAGGCCACGACGAGACGAAGGATATATACGAATATGTGACCGAACATTTGAGCCATGAAACGCGCCCAGGCCTCCGAAATGTCCGCTTCAACGCCTAATTGCCGATTGTACGATCATTACTCAAGTGGATTGTAACTAACTGCCCATTACTTTCCTATAATTAGCTCATTTTGTACATGTTTTACTAATTTTCTGATCTCATGATGTTCGTTATTGAGAAATTGTAATCTTCACCCCCCTAATTAACTAAATTTAACCCTAATTAGATACTTTTTTAACTACAATATCGGAGTTATTTTGTAACTGTAACTGCTTTTTACTATGTGTATAAATATTGAATAAAATAACGTAAAGAATGGAGGTTGGAAAGTAATGAATGCAAGACTTTAGTTTAGTGATCATATCAGTCTGTCGGGAAAATGACGGCGGATTGTCGCAGCAAAATGTCTCGCCTCGCCGCTATCGCTGACCAAGGCGCGACGATCCGCCGTTATTTTCCCGACAGACTGATAAATTTCGGGAAGCCGCCGGACTGATTTTTGGCGTTTGCACTGTGCGAAAACAGTCAAGGTGCGAGCGACGACCCGAAAAAGCCTATTGCACGGTGCAAAAAACAAGAAATTGCACGGTGCAAAGAAAACCTTTGTTTTCGCACAGTGCGTATCGCCGATTTCAGTCCGGCGACTCTTCGGAACGGCCGTGTCGGGCGAAAATGCACAGTGCAATGAAAAATGAAGAAAGAAATGGTTGCACAGTGCAAGGAATTCCTGGTTGATTAGGGAATTTTTTGTTGCAGAATGCCAAAGCGCAGATTTTCGTGGCGAAACTCGTCTTCTCAAAGGAAAAAGATGATTTTTTGATTGAAAAATTATTTCAAAATGTTCTTGTAAATATTATAAAGTATATGCAGGTATTTTTATCTTGTGTATGAAATAAAAATTTAATTTATTCACTTTATTGTTAAAAATCTTTGTTCTTTTGGTCAAAAAAAAGAGGAATAACATCTTTCAAGCCCTTACAACTTAACGCTAAGCACTGGAAATATGAGTTGAAGTCTCTCTCTTCTCCTTCTTGACCTTAGTCTTGCTGGGTGCGAAGCAACAACAGAATATCCTTAGGGCCGCTTCACGGTAGGCATCGATAAACGAGGCCGAAGCGAAGGGATTGATCACCGGCATGATTGTCAAAGTGATGTTCATAATGTAATTACAAGTCGTTACGAAGGCTTCGGAGGGTTGTAGAATTACACAAGCCGCCATCAGGACAAACATTGGGACCATGGTTACGGAGGGGGTAACAGCCTAAAACAATATTTTTTTTGAATTTTTATCAAATTTTTATTGACGAGGAAAGTACTTCTATGGGGTGTGGAGTTACAGGTCGAGTCATATATCAAAAAATTCGCAAAATTTTTCTGATTCAGAATATGTAAAAATTAGCTGCCTAATTTTGGTTTGTAAGGGTGAAAAACCCCTCAGAACTTTTCTCGCAACACCACTCAAATGCCACTTTTTTAAAATTTTTTTATGTTGGGACTACTAAGTAAGGTGGAGTATTAATAAAATTTGTTATTTCAAGGCTTGTCAAGCTGCCAGAGTTTACTTTAGCTCCAAACAAAGCTTTTCAATTGGTAAAAACTTGGTCAAAAAGGCATTTGCGTGGTGCTGCGAGAAAAGTTCTGAGGATTTTTTCACCCTTACAAACCAAAATTAGGCAGCTAATTTTTATATATTCTGAATCAGAAAATTTTTGCGAATTTTTTGATATATATCTCGACCGATAACTCCATACCCCATAGAAGTACTTTCCTTGTGAAAAGAATATGACTTTTTTAACGAAGTATAAAAGTAGATGTATTACCTGAACAATCAGTGACTTTGCGACTTGTTTATTGACCGAATGCCATCTGGTTTTACCATCGCGAATTCGGAAGGTATTCACAACTTTTCGAATGTAAATAAAGATCAGAACATACGATACAAGGGTAACGAAAAACCCAACCGAATATAATTTCAAGGCTGCTGGACCCTGGAAATTTTTTTGATGAAAAAAGCTCTCAAAAAAAAAATTAAAAAACGTAAATGCTTACATTATCACCAATCCCAAAAATCTTATCCTTGTTTTCCAGCAAGAAACTGTTTTTAATCTTGCTCGCTTGCTCCGTAAACCGATCTTGATGGACGCCGTATCTTGGCATGATCCACATGGAGTTCAGGACAATCATGATGACAGATCCAGTCGTGGCGAAGATTGCAAAGACAACGAATTGGGAGTTTGTCATGATTTTTTCTCTGAAAGATATATGTATATGTTTGTAAAATACGCATTCGTCTAAGATACGTTCTGCCTTTTACATATAAACTCACTTGCAAACCACCAGATATCTATAGTAATAAGACAAGGCCACCACCGCAGGCAACGCATGAAATGCGAAGATATAGCTGAAGAAGAAGAAGAACTGCATTTGATCTGATAGCATTTGCATAAAATAGTTCGAAATCAGATAGCAATTGCCTTCATCCATGAAGAATATCTGAAACGATCAAAAAAATATGATAATTGTCCAAAAAAACGAAGAAGAAATGTAGAAAATCCCTGTTGCAAAAACTAACCGGTCGAGTGAAAAAAGACGTAAACGTAACGACCCAATCGTAGAGCGAACTGTACATGAGAATCTTCTGATACACCTGCATCAGCTGCTCTGTCCGTTTGAGGATCATAAACATGAAGAACGCTGATCCAATCGATGACAAAACAAAAACCGCAATCTCCAAATAAAATGCATATTCATTGTCGAAATCTGAGGTTAACATTCTGAAAAGGCATGATGACATTCGAATTAATAGATATGTGCATTTCGCGATCATCAGGGTGGGATTAGAACTATTAAAGGGGGGTCCTACTTGGGAGGGTTTGAGCATCCTATGGGACCTACATTTCTTAGAAACTAGATGCATTTTTGGGATCTCCCCTGCGCATACTTTAACCTCTATAAAATGGGGGAAAACAGGCACGAGATGGAGGCTGAATTTCGCGTTGAATCGGGCTCTAACCGGGCCTAGTACCTTTGACTTGGGTCGGAAAGACCGGCTCGTTTCTCCTCACTGCCTATGTCGTCCAGAAAGTTTGGTCGTTTTTTCGTTTCTTTGTTTTACAAGGATTGTTTGTTGTTTGGCAAATGGAATATACATATTTATTTGATACAGTTTTTTTCCTCTACAGAACTGGGTGTATCAAATAAATCTATACACTTTGCCAAACAGCAAACAATCCTCCTAAAATAAAGCAATGAAAAAGAAACGAACGAACTTTCTGGACGACCTAATACGTATGTCTACAACGATTGCTAGGTAATCAAAAAGTGCTGAGATAAAGGTTTTTTGAATGAATAATTGCTCATCGTTATTGGTCAGTTGCAGCTGCTAAACAGAAAAGAGAAAAAATTATTGTCACCCGCGACTGGTGCCGACAATGTATCGAGCCACAAAGTGACCGTTCGTTCTGACAATGATAAGAAAACCGATCGTAAAAATAAAAGCCAGCTTCAAACTGATTTTAAAAGCAACACTACCACAAAAAATTAATATTAAGGCCTTCAAAATTTCACTCCAACATCCAACTTCTACGGCGGCGTACTCCAACCCGCTATGCCCGTTTTTTGCCTCCGAGTTCAAATTCAAACGCCTGTAGAACGGAGCAGATTGCCCATCGGCATTCATCAACGCTCATTATTCGCAATTGAAGTCGGGTTAATGAGGGCCGGATGAAAGATTTCATTAACTTCTGGCCATAGAAATCTCCGAAATAAGCGAAAATTATCCAGCAGTGTGGGCAGCCATGAGATCATTTCGTTCTCTCAAAAATAAAATTTTTTGGAGCAAAATGCAGCCTTTGCGGGGATGAAATGAAAGTTAGCATACGAAATTTGCCCGGGCTGACCCGCGTTTTACTACAGGGAAACATTTCTGAGCATACCTGGGATATTACACTTGCTGCCGTTTACTGTGCTTGACGTAGCCGCACGCCATGAGGCGTTGCATGAACTCTATGTCAGGAAATGCTTCGAGCATGGCAAGACTCATGAAAGTGCATGGAGAATTGCAACAAGACAGAGTGTCTGATGTCTGTGGTTTTTTACAAAATTCCAGAAAATCAATTTGGCGAACGTAAATTTGGAAGTAAAGTTTAATGAATTTTTGTATAACAAACCGTAGACCGGAGGTAGGTATGTTTGTGAATACGACATTTTGGTGACGTTAACATTTCGTCAGCTTAGTTGTACGACATTTAGGCTTTCAGAGAACTGCAATGTAAGGTAAGTTTACATGAGAAAATGCTCATATTTTCGAGATTGATTTGTGGTTATTTTTCCATTTGATTTGTTGAAAATTCTGGCAATTTACAGGCTTGGCCAAGGTGTTCAATAACCTCTTATAAATGAGGAGGGTCTCAAAATTCAGTGAAGATTTTTTGAGCAGTTTTAGCAAGGCCTGAAAGGTAAAATTCAAGCCTTTCCATGTCAGATTATACCCATCTAAGGTATGTTCTTATACTGAATATTGAAGCGGTACAACTTTCATATCTTAAAACATTGTTCAAACATCACTACCAGTATCTTTTTTATATATACTGTATATAAATCCAAACTCATTAGACCCCCTTTTCCTGCCATTTGTTGTCTCCATCATCACTCAATTTCAAAATCACCGAGTCAGTGCAATTCCCGTCGCACAATTGAGTTTATTAACCGGGGAATGGAAATATTTTTACAACCTCTAATTAACTACATAAAAACGGTGCATGGTATCATCATTACAATCGTTGGTTAATGATAAGAAAAATACAAGGTAGATGTCGGTTATCATTACTCAGCTGCGGGTGGGACGACGGGGGTTGCTTGTTGAACGGAGAAGCGACGGGGCCGGTCCGCTTCCTCCATTGAGCTGAAAAATAATCGGATAAAATTTTTATCAGTCTTGAAAATGACTGTGTAAAATACGCTGAAGTTAATTGTACCTTTTTTTTACCTTTTTTTGGAATTTTCGTCAAAAATTTTCTTTTATTTTTTATTTTTTTTTGTCTTTCAACTTACTGTAACTCCATTTATCTTTTCGAAATCTCACACTGAGCACCAGTTGAGAGTTCTTTTATGTTTGGAGTCATATCGAACCCCAAAAAGCCATATAAAAATGGTAATTTCTCGGGAAACCCGGAAGAAATGTCATCCCGAGAGGATATAGAGAACAAAGTAAAAAAAACTACCGTTTCACGCGATTTGCGTCAAAATTAAATAAACCCAGAAAAATACGTAAATACATTATGTAATTATCAAAATTTCATCTTGATTTTTTTCCTAAACTTCAGGCACTTTTACCGAATTTAAGGAAAAAAATACCATAAAATTGTCAAAAAAAATTTGATTTTCCTACCTGCTCAAAGTACGCTGCCTTTCCATGCCGGGGATGGCGACTCCACTCAACACTCCGCAGCCCTTGCACAACAAGATAAGTGAGCGCGCGAGGTTGTCGGGGGCTTCGGCCATCACATCGCTGACATTGTCCACCACCAGCAGGGTGGTCTTCTTTTTGTTCATGTTCTTGTGGGTATTGTACACCGTATTGACATGAGGAGCTCGTGAGCCAGTGACCAGGAGGGCATCAATACTAAAAGTGAGGAGATTATAGGGGAATTGAATGAAAAAGGTGAGGTGCATAGTGACCACAAATAGTGAGGAGAGCGGTCAGAGAAAATTAAAAAATGCCTTTTTTGGCCATATTTTTATGAAGTATGGCAAAAGATTATTTTTGTAGAATTGCGATATAGTAGTCCTTCCGGCAAATCGCCGGACTGATTTTTGGCGTTTCTCACCTCATTTCCCATAGTTTTTTTCAAAAATCATTGGAAATGGGCCAGCGCAGCGCGACTTTGATTTCAAAAGCTTTCTCTAGTCCGTTTGCGATGTCGCAAGAGTGATTTCGGCGACATGCACCCGCGACGTCGGCGAAAAAAATTCTACGGACTTTATGGCGCGACTACTAGTCCTTCCGGAAAGTCGCCGGACGGAAATCGGCGACATGCACTGTGCAAGAAAAGTCAGGGTGCGAGCGACAGCCCAACAAAGCCTATTGCACGGTGCGAAAAGCAAGAAATTGCACAGTGCAATGAAAAATTTTGTTTTCGCACAGTGCAAACGCCAAAAATCGGCCCGGCGACATGCACTGTGCGAAAACTGATTTCTGGCGTTTGCACTGTGCGAAAAAAGTCAAGGTGCGAGCGACAGCCCAAAAAAGCCTATTGCACGGTGCAAAAAGCCAGAAATTGCACAGTGCAAGGAAAAATTTTGTTTTCGCACAGTGCAAACGCCAAAGATCAGTCCGGCGGCATGCACTGTGCTAAAACAGATTTTTGGCGTTTGCACTGTGCAAAAAAAGTCAGGGTGCGAGCGACAGTCGAAAAAAGCTATTGCACGGTGCAAAAAGCCAGAAATTGCACGGTGCAAGGGAAAGTTTTGTTTTCGCACAGTGCGTGTCGCCGATTTCAGTCTAGCGACTTTTCGGAAGGACTCTTACGACGTTTGAAACTTAACGCTATGCCATTCACCTTCTGTAAAGTCGCAATTTTCATTTTTGCCTAGTGTTTTCAAAATTTTTATGCGCTTTCTAAACACAGTGTTCGAAAAATAGCTCGTCTCATCAGAGGTTTTTCCCACACGTTCTCCCTAAATTTATATCCTGCCAGAATGACAACTTACGTATCGAGTTTAGCGCCGAGAACGGTCGAGAAGTCGGTTCGCTTGCTGAATGCGAACAAATATTTGGACAAGTTTTTGGGATTCAAGGTGCTCTTCAGCTCGTCGATGTACGCCTGTTTGTCCTTTTTGTTGTTCTGAAACATCAAATTTATTTGCTCAATTTACAATGTAAATTAATCGGATTTATGATGAGTTCTTGCGGACTTACATTTCCCAGCTTGTGCATAACCAAAAGTTCCCAGGCGCCATCAGTCATGACGTCATTTTCCAGACGGAGGTTGATGAACTGAAAAAAATAATTGCTTCTTTGATCTTGGCTTAATTTTTGGGGCAATTAAAAAATTTTTTTGCAAATTTTTTGTGTAAAATACGTTACTCCTCAATGCAGTTTTCCTTCCACAAATTTTCTCCATTTTCCAATAAAAAGTCAATTTTTCGAGGCGCCAAAAAACGTTCTTTGGTAAGCCTGAAGCAAAAAGGTTTGTCCATTTTTTGTCTTTTGCTTCAATCTGACGTCAATGGCATTTGTTGTAAACATTTATTTAGTTTATTAAATTTCCCAGATGAAGAAAGCGGAAGTTTTTTCAATTATAATTGAACAAGGAACCATTCATGACCAGTTGGCCATTAAATTTAGAACGGATACTATTTAAGGGACTTATTGCTATGGAGACGCACTTGAGCGCTCAATTTTGTATTTTTTAAGTGGCTTTAGTTTTTGGGCAGGAAAAATGATATACGAATTGAAGCACATTTGAAAAAGCGTTTTCTGTTCAACAATTGTTGACGAAAATTTCAGGCAAACAAGTGGAATTTATTTTTGCTTTATATTACGCAAGATGTCATCAAATTTTTGAGGAGGATGCATGAATCCTTTCAGCTGAGAAAGAGGTATTTAGCGATCATTACAGATCAGAGAATTCGAAAAACTGGAAGAGATGTCGCCCATATTTATAGGAAATTTTCATGAAAAGAACAAGTTTTTTGTTGAAATACTTCTAAAGAGATGATAAATGTAAAATACGACTTGTATCGCGCCAGATTTTTTTGTAGTTTCTGCAAAGCGCGGCGTAAAAAAATCGACTATTCTTTAGCAAAATTTATATAATAAATTTAATCAAAATTTAGGCAAAATTTCGTCAAGATTTGAAGTCATTTCTCAAAACAAATATACCGGTTTTTAAACTAAAAAATTCTTTCGAAACACTCCTCACCTTATCCTTGAAATACTCGAACACTCCGGCTGTTGTGGAGGTACAATGAAGCAGGATGATGCCGTTGATTCTGTTGGGCGAGTGCAACGCGAATCTGCAGATAATGTTGGCGCCAGCACCTTCGCCGAACGCGATGCATGAGCGGACATCCAACTGATCGAGGGCAACAACTAAATCCTCGGCCATTTGGGCCAAGGTGGGGAACTCTCCTTGGAAGTCGGGAGCATGGTCCTCCTGTCCGGGGATGCAGACGTGCAAGAAGACGGCGTTCTTCTTCACTTCGGCCATGCTGGGATGGTCGACGAATCGGACAAAGGATTTGTCTGAAGAATTGAAAAAAATATATCATATTATACATGTTATGGTAAAATTTAGTCATCCCTTCGACCGAAAATAATATTAAAATATTCTAATTTATCTAAATTTCCAAAAAATCTCAAAAATGGCGAGAATTCAAATCTTAAATTTTATCAAAAAGTCAGCCCTTCTAAGAGATTGAACAACACTTATTACAATCAAAAATTCAAAACTTACGGTTAGTTCCGATGTCATGGACGGTAAGGATGACAGTTTTGTGGTTCCTCTCCTCCAAGTCACCTTGAACATAGATGTTGAACTTGGCGGTCTTGCCGTTGATTTCGATTTTTTTTATATCGCTCATTTTGGATCTGAAAAATCGATTTATTGGTTATGACGGCGTATTTTAAATTTCTCATCGAATAAACGCAAAAATAAAAATTTATATTCAAATTGAAAAAACAGTTGAATCTCTGAAAAAATGAAGCCGTTTCAGAAAAGGAGATTGATATAGGATCTTCTAATTTTCAATAAAAAGTCTTGTCTATAGTAAAAAGATGTCTCATCTGTTTATTACCCAGTAAATGAGGGTTGAATCTGAACTTTCCGAGATTTCCCACAATACCCACTTCAAACTCTATGACTCTTTAACACGCTTAAAAAATGGAGGAAATTGATGCCGACAAAAATTAAAATGCCATGGAGTATGAAAAATTAGAAGGAAACGTGCCGCCAGTATACAACATGTCAAAAAATGCATCGCTTAACTACTTAAATTAGCTCGCAAAAAGGTCAAATTCTCAAACTTTTGAAGGATTGCCGCAGGGGTCTTGAAGATTATTGCTGAAAAAAATCGACAATCCTCTTTGCAGAGGATTTATTTACAAGACAGAACCAACTAAACTAAATGGTTTTAGTTTGATTTTTCTCCGTAAAATAGGGATCCAAAATAAAAAAATCGTAACTAGTGGGTACGTATTTTAAACAGTATTTCTGCACCAAAAAGAAAACAATTTCCTCGAGCATTGTTAATGTCTGAGACGAGGGATAAACACGGGCCGAATGCTCGAGAAGAAAAATTTCCAAATCCCCGATGGCGAAAGTGTTGGGCGATTGAAAGAGACGGAAAAAATAAGTTGGAAAAATCCAAAGAGCCGCTGCGCCGTGGAGGGAAAAGACTTTCGTTGGGTTGAGGGCCGACGGCCGAAACACGACGTGCACAAGCGGAGAAACGGCCGCCTCAGGGCACCGGGCCGCGTCCGGCCGCAAACCCGTTTTTGAGCGCTCAATTCGGCCAACGCTTTGTATTGTGCTGCACTTTTCCGTCGACTGTCTTAATGAAAAAAAGCGAAGTCAGGATGTTTTGACGGAAGGCCGGATCAGAGATCCCGCCCTGGCAAAATCTCAAGCCGGACCTCATTTAATTAGAAGGTAATCCAAGTGAATACGAATCCATTATTAGTCAGCATGACATCAACAAGGAAGGAAATTCAGAATGAAATAAAAAAACATATAAACACGAGTCATAAACACCCTCAGGGTTTGTAAATAGCTGTTGAAAAAGACATGTTAGGGGATGGAAAACAAGAATAAAAAATGTATTGAGCGCTCAGGTTTATTTACAGCCAAGAAGTCCCACGGGTTTTGGAAAACAAAGAGGAAAACGATTAATTAGAGTGGAAAAATGTTAAAAATAGATGGACAAAAACAAAATTAAAAATCAAATGGCTTAGAAGGGAAGTCCATCAAATTTTGAAAAGTTCAGAATTGAAATTGCGCTGAAATTTTTAGATTTCTCTAGACGGGAGATTACAGTAATCGTGAGAAACAGTAATATGCATATTTTTCAACCAAAAATTCGCCTAGAAATCTTGATTTTCGACATTTTTCTTGACGTTAAATCATCGTTTTTTATAGCAAAATATAAGCTAAAAAGCTCGAGGGCGGCTTAGAAAACATAAGTCAAAATTTTGGCGAGTTTCAAAAAAATCATCATCATATTTTACACTGTAATTTTTTCGACGAAAACTTCTCTACACAATATCAGCTTACCACACAATTTCTTCACAGAAAAGCACTCTTTCCTCTCAAAAAATCGATATTATAATCGTCTAATCTTCGGAAGAAGACCTTTAAGACCAGTGCGGCCATTTATCCCCCGCCCAAATCTCCAGTTTTTAGTGCATCCTGCTTATTTTCATTCAAAAACAAGCCCTGACCCCCCTCCCTATTTATGCGGCTCCGGAAATACCCCGGGCACATGGTGTCCTTACTTCGCAAGGGATTTCTCTCTTGGCAAACACGAATTTCGCCCATGTTTTGATCCGTTCGCGCGTGCAGAACCCGAAGAGGACGCCGAGAATTCAAAGGCAAATAAACAATTCTGGAGTGATCCAGGAAGCGCGGAAAGGAAAGGAAGGAAAAATATTGGCCAGTGAGGGAGTTACGGCCTGATCAGCGGGTCAGATTTTGAGTGCAGGAAATGGTAAACAGGCTTTTGTATTCGTCTTTTCTGGAGTTACTTTTGAAGTCAGAAGGATTTCAAAATAATCGTCAACAATCCCAAGAGTAAAGAATAAAATAATAGTAAACAAATTTACCACTGATTCTCGTGTGACAGGTGGAAAATAAATTTTCGCTTCAAAACCACATTTTTGCAAAATTAAAAATTTTAAAAAACAAAATTTTTTGATTTTTTTAAAAACTCGAGATCCCAAAGAATCTTATTTTTAAGATTGTTTTCTCATATAAAAATTTGGTGAGACAAAAAAACCCTTTCTTCAAAAGACTCACTATTGGTCAGGATCAAAAGTTGATCCGTTTTTTTAGTAAAAAACACGTCCAGCCTCGGATATATTTGCTTTACGTGATTTTATGGAAGATATTTCGAAGGGAATGTACTTTGATCGCGCACGAATGGGTTTCGAAAAAAGTGTAGAGCGGCTACTTTTGAGCTATCAGTCTGGCGGGAAGTAAATAATTCGGACTCGCGCTCCTAACCGCTCATCATCGCTTGAAAGGTTGGGGAATGCACCAACTTTTTGCGATGAGGCCAGACGTTTTGATATGACAAGTCCGAATTATTTTCCCGACGGATTGATTGGTTGGGTCGGAAATTTCCTTAAGCACGGCGTTTTTTCTTATAGTATTTTTGGACACGCACTTTGCAAAAGCCCACAAGTTTATATTAAAAAAGCTTGGAGGGTTTCTGCTCCCAGAGGCGAGCAAGCAAGGAATATTAAAAATGTCTTGGAAAAATTTATTCTAAATTTTTATAAAGTCATGCAACGTTCACTATACAATCTGGCCGTTGTATGATTAGAAAACATATTTTTTTTCTGACCGTCTCACCTCATTTCCCATAGTTTTTTCCAAAAATCTTTGAGTGGGTCAGCAAAGCGCGACTTTGATTTCGAAAGCTTTCTCTAGTCCGTTTGCGAAGTCGCAGGAGTGAGTTCGGCGACGTGCACTGTGCAAGAAAAGTGGGGGTGCGAGCGACAGCCCAAAAAAGCCTATTGCACAGAGCAAAAAGCCGAAAATTGCACAGTGCAAAGTGAAGCTTCGTTTTCGCACCGTGCAAACGCCAAAATCACTCCAGCGACATGCACTGTGCGAAAAATGATTTCTGCCATTTGCACTGTGCGAAAAAGGTCAGGGTGCGAGCGACAGCCCAAAAAAGCCTATTGCACGGTGCAAAAAACCGTAAATTGCACAGTGCAAAGCGAAGTTTCGTTTTCGCACCGCACAAACGTCAAAAATCACTCAAATGACTTTACAAACCTGCTAATCCCTATGTAGAACCAAAATATTCAACCGATATTAAAAATTTCCTGCAAAGGCCTGCAAAACCACAAACAAAAAATGCCGCCGCTCCTCCACAAACCCACTTTTACGCGGAGTATTAGCAATTTCGACGCGAAAAACTGCAAACACATGCCCGAATACTGGGTTAATTTTATCTACAAAACCTCATTTAAATTCCCGGCCACGAGGCCCAGCCTCGTGGAAGACGATTCGAAAGTAAACAGCCCTGCAATAACAAGGCCGAAAATCAGATAAACCGAAAATAATAATGTCAGCTTTGAGATAGCAGATGACAAAAACAATTTATAGCAAGATGCAAAGGTCAACTTATCCCTTTAAAAAATCAAAAATGAAAATTTTCCCGAACAATTTCCTTAGAAAACCTCGCCAATTCCTTTTGATTTCAACATATTTGGTCAAAAAAATATTCCGAATGAAGAGTCACGCGTCCTGGCCGAAGCTGGGCCCTTTGTGGTCTGTTCATAAACAAAAAGGACGCTTACAGCAATTGCTTCAGAGAACTTTTAAGGCCTTTGCCTCGGAATTTGTAAAGTCCCAAAACAAAGCAAATGTTTCCTGGTTGGCGTCGATGGAGCGAACTCATGGCAACCGTGGGAGTTTCGATTTTAACAAGGCCTGTGACGTTGGTGGAGAGAGGAAAAGTTTAAAATAAACAAAGGGAGAAAATTGGCATGCGTTTTGTCTCGTGGCTACGTAAAAGCTGCGAAAAGTTTGAGCTCGCGCTTTGCAGGTGCACCTGGTAGATGCAACCGCCTTTGCCGACGATAGAGCCAGAGAGAAGAGGGCGGTCAGAGAAAAAAAGTTGGGATTTCAGTCAATTCTCCCAGGAAATCTGCATAATTATGCATAAGCCAAGAAGTATACAGCAGCGGACCTGATCCAGTGGCAAAAAACGTACTATTTTGCATCCGGGAAGCATCAAAAATGTAGCAGAATACCTCCCTCTCCAAGTGAAAAAACTCCGATTTCAAAATTGCGCCCGCTCTTTTTGTGAGGGAAAGGGCCCGAGAGGGAGGCATTTTGCCACATTTTTTGATACTTCTCGGATGCAAAATGGTACGTTCTTTGCCGCTGGATCAGGTTCGTCACTGTATATATTTTATAAAAAATGTTTTTCGCATCTCAATTCCCACATTGGAACATAGTGTTTTATGAAAACGTAACCCTATGGTAATGAGACTAAAACTTTTTTTTCTCACATATTCCGTAATGTTCATGTCAAAAAAAATTAAAATAAATTCACTACTGATCCAGAAGCCTTTAAAAAAAATTACTAGACCGTTAGGGGAGGAAGACCAGTATAAATCGGCCTTATCGGTCTTTGATCCGAAATTGGACCATCCTGGAAATGTTCTGGAAGCCATTTTCTGCTATCTAATTTTGTTTTCCAAAAGTCTAACTCTTTCTGGAAAGGGTCTTTCTGACGATAATGATGTAAACGATCCGTTTTCCCTTCTTTTCCCCGGCCCAAAACGTGAAACAACGGCCAGCAATTTTAGAGGACCCAAAATTACTTTTCTGCCTCCGTAAATGTCAGAAAATATATTCATAACAGTATTTATTATATATACAATGCACATTAGCTGTGGAATAGATTATAGTGACCAAAGGAATAGATTATTTACACTACCATGGGATCGGTTGAAATCGTTGTTCTCGGTGATAATGGGGGCTCGCTGGAGCTGGAGAAGGATCGGGATGTTTTGCGGATCAGCATTTGTACGTAGTGCCGCAAGCGGTTGGTAAATGCGATAAAAACAAAGGCATTTACAGTCGCCGACAACATGGAGAGCACTGTGGACACATGCGACTGGATGTAGTCGGTTCTGAAAACAAGATAGGATGATGGTTAAAAGAGTTTTTTTGCTGTAAAAACTGAGTGTTGGAGGTATTATTTAGACGCGTTTTTCAATCGACGGCTTCGGTAATCTTCCGGAAAAAACAGCTCTTAAAATGAGTTGTCACAGCTACCTAGTAACGATGCTGTGTCAGCGTCTTCTACAATCCTTGAAGATTATAATAACAGCAATCCGAGACCATCAGCGGCTGGCAAAGGGACGTGATCTGAGTTGTTTCGTACCCTACCAAAATCAGGTCACTTTCGAGTTTTTAGCAATAAAAAATCTCGGCTAAGCCGTAAGGCTTTGCAATACACCCTAGATGAAACTTCGATAAGCTCTCTATTAGTCTATAAGTATGTTGAACTATGAAGGGCTCTGAGCTAGAAAATAATCGACTTCAAACTTTTGCAAGAAAATGGTCATAACTTTTTATCCAACTTAATACTTTTCTTGTTAGTAATAAATGAATTTCATCGAGTTTTGAGACCCCAACAAATTTTCGAAACCCCGCTTACCGTGTTGGACACTCCTCCATCAAGATCAGTTGCCATTTCCTTATGACATTATAAACTTGAAGCGAATGTAACAGCAGATACAATAAAATGATGACAATTATCGAAACCGTCGCCCGAAATTCCTGTTTCTGTCGTATTGAATCGGCCCTTTTCCTCAAATATGTCAACGGCTGCGTAAACGTCAACGACGCTTTGGGCTTGGCCACAATGTCCGTGGAATTGCGACCGGTCGATCTGCTTCCATACGAATTCCTCTTCATCCCCATGGCACTTGAGATGGCAAAGTTTTCGGGGTTGAATTGGGCATAGCCGAACTGTCGACTTTTTGCGATTTCAATCAAGGTTAATATCGAAAAGACGCACATCCACACGAATGGGACAAAATTTGAAAGAATTGGGTCCAGAAATGTGTGATAGACCACGCGATACGGGGAGAGAAGCTGAAAATAATGTTTGTAGTAAAAGTAATTTGTAAAATACGAGAACGCAATAAGTCATTCTTTTAAAAATTGTCTTAAAGGTGGTGTTACGGAGCTGTGAAAAATCTAAAATAGCCTTCTATAAGCTATTTTAGTTCAATCAAAATTTAAGCCTCGTAGCTCGTGCACCACCCCATCCTTATCATCTATTATATGTACCTAATTTTGCGCTTACCTCAGTAGTCTCGGGGCGTCTGAGGATCCTCGGAAAGGGTTTAATTTTAAGCTCAAGTTCGAAGAAAAAGATTGGAGAACGGAATAAAATAGCGATGATGAACATGATTAACAACACTGTACGCGCTCTGGACGCGGTGTCCTTAAACCGCGATACAACCGGCCTTGAGATCTTCCAGTATCGATGAATTGAAAGCGAGGCTATCGTCCAGACATGCAGAAGATTGACCGTACTTTCAAGTCGAGGAAGAGTGTATTTTAGGAAACGCCGCTCCACCATACAGTATCTGAAAGAAGGATACGGTAAATTGAAGTAAATTATCTGGGAGAAAATAAGATTTCTCCGCGTATGAGAAAAATTTTGAGGAAATAAAAAATGATGACTTACTGATAAAACAAATGCTCCTTGGAATGATGACGATCGCAGAGTTGAGGCAATAGCACCGTCGCCGACGTTACAATAATATGGCAGTGGTCGAGGATTAGCAGCGCTTTCAGGTAAATAAATACCCCCGATGTGATCTTTGGCGGACTGTACAGACATATCTGAAAAAATCGAAGATATAGGAGGAATTACGATAGAAACTAAGAGGTATAAAAACAGTTACTGAGTGTCTAGATTAGATTTCGAGTCGAAATGAACCTGCCTACAACAAAGCTTTCTAAAACAAATAATTTTTTTATGGTAGCTTGCAATTTTTTGCACAAACTTTTTACTGTACAAATCCTATATATGTATAGCCTAAAACGTATTACTAACCCAGAAAATCGAGCTTTGCGCATATTTTTTACAGTATGCTCCACAAAAATAGAAGTCACCGCTGAAAAACTCACCAAAGCCGAAGCATTGAAGAAGAGCCCCAAAACGGCCAACGGTAAGAGGATATAAACGTTGATTGTGCTCAGTTGAAAGTACAGCTCATGGTCGTGCACTTTGGGCTCGTGATAACAAGCCGTCGACGTGTCCCACCACGCCGTATCCGCCATTTGGGAACTGAAACAAATGACGTAAATTAAACAAAATCAACTTGATATCATAGTTTTATTGATAGCCAAGGGGTCTTAAGAAGGAATTAAAAGAAGCCCTGCGGTCAGATTTCGGTGAATGTTATGAAAAATAGATACGATAATTTCAGATTGTGCTCTGTAGAAATGGCCGGGATCTTTTTGATGAAAGTTTCCGAAAGTTTGAAAATTTCTTTATATTAAATGTGGGAAGATTTGCACTTTATTTTAAACGCCTAAGCTCAAGCTTTTCTACAGAAGATCAGCAAGGACATACCAAGAAAAATAGCATTTATTTTCTTGGTTTTAGGTGCCCTGGCGCCTTCAAATGTCGTTAAATATATTAGCAGAGCCCGCAAAACCTGAGCTTAAACTTTTAGGGATTGCTGTATAATATAGAGGGACACTGTAGGCAGAACTCTCAACAACTTTTTCTCGATCAATTCGGTTACTTTTCCTTTGAATTTTCTGAAATATTTTTTGCCCTTAAGGCTATACAAGGCCGACTTTACAATATTCTTTCCTATACTATATGTACTAAAAACAGCCCTTGCAACAATCAAAAGCCCATTTTTCAACCCCACCCACGCGAAAGTTTGCGTAGTCCTTACGGAAACATCCACGGCTCCATTGTTATAAAAGTGGCAGCAAATAATTAGAAAACGAAAAAACTGATTAATTCAATAGTCGTTTAGTTGGGCCGCGTATTGGCCATAAAAACTGAAGAGCCCATCTTCGGAAATCTTTACTTCCCGCCTGCCACATATGTGATATACGACGTGTTTATCGGAAAACAAAGTCCGGCTTTTTCGCGGGCCAAACCTGACAACTTTATAAGGTTACAAGACGTATAGGAAATATGCGGAGGCGTTTTGGGAGTTTTGAGGAAAAAATTATTTTTTTTTTTGAAATTTTCGGGGGTAATCAAAGATCATAAGCGATGACAAAGTTATTAAAAAAATATTTTGTCATTCCTTTAGAATAACTTTACTATGCGATAACGGTCAAGATGCAAAGCATAGATTTCCACCAAATTTGGCAAAACTGCTTTGCATAGGTCACAAATCAAATTCTAAAAGTTTTAGCTTGTGCAACAACAGCTGAGATATTCAGTGATCTCTGCAGATGGTAGAACATAGAAAATTAAGTGACACGGTCATAATTCCAGCACATCGCAAGTTAAAAATCTCCTATGCTTTTCAGAAAATCTCAATCTTGAATTACACCGAAGCAAAAAGATTTTTTAAAATGTTCTCTTAATTTTTTAATAAAAAGGATTGGTTTAATGAAAAAAATTTAATTTGTCACAGATTAGTAAAGTCAAATTTTATGCAAAAGATTATCTTGCAAGAAATGTAATTCCTTTCTTCCTCAGGAATCTTAATATAAACAAATTCTCCTTGCTAATTAGTCATTAGGACAAGCTGTTCGAAAATTTCAAAAGGTGATGTCATTTTGAATTAAATATTTACACTCTTATAAGCTCATTTTGGATGACAATTTCAAGACTTCAGAGCAGTGCAATGTATTCAAAAAATCTCAAGATCAAGCCAACTTACAGTACTTGTAAACGCCCAGGAAATGATCTTCTCCAAAGTTTACAACAACAGATAACACTGGCTACCCATAAACATTGAAACCACCGTCATAGTCGCGACCAAAATTCTCGGATTCCTGAAAAAACGGACCGCAATAACAAGAAGAACGTAAGGCGCAGGCGAATTCGGACAAACAGCGATAAGTTTTCGTCCACTAATTGGATGAGACTGACGACATTTTAATTGGACATGAACACGATGTGGGGCAAATCGCGTAGGAATTGGGAGAAGATGTGAGATTCGATGAAACACGGATTATTGGACAGAATTGATGACCTCCTGGTTTCAGGGTTCAACAAAAAATTAATGTCGAAACTTTTTACAAATTTTAAAAATAGGACAATAACAATGCCGGAAATTTTACAATAAAAAACTATATTTATATCTGAATTTTTAGAGTTTTAATTAAAAATCGCTTGGGGGAAAAATAAGGATTCATAGGGCAAGTACTTGAAGTGCGGCGCTCAGTTTGTTGTAAAACTTGGAACAAAATTTGGAATGAAATATTTTTTTCTAGGCCTTGCGGTAGAGCTTCTGTACAGCAAATTGCCTGGGACTAAAGGATTCGTTCACTATAGAAAAAGTTCCGTTATAAAATTTAGACAACATTTTTTATACAGTGGCGGAGCTGATTCATTGGCCAAAAACGAACCATTTTGCATCTGGGAAGTGTCGAAAATGCAGCAAAATACCTCCCTCTCCAAGTGAAAAAACTCCGATTTCAAAAGCCCGCCTGCTCTTTTTGTGAGGGAAAGGGCCGCCCTTCAAAACGAAGTTTTTTAGTTGGAGAGTGAGGCATTTTGCCACATTTTTGATACCTCCCGGATACAAAATAATACGTTTTTTGCCACTGGATCAGGTCCCTCACTGTATTTTGGCCAAAGAATGGCCCTTGTGACTTCTTTAAATTGTTTGTTATAGACAGGTTTTATTTGTTCATGGATTTGACTGGTTCATAAATTTTCTATCCTCAAATTTTAATGAACTTCACATACGAAATTTCAAGCTCGCCCTTTGCGGGAAAAGTGAGATTTTTAGATTGGTCCAAACAACAACCTATTGCGGTTATATGAAAGAAAAATTTTCCTTAATTCTACCGGGTTAGACAAAAAAAGTAATTATTTAACCACAACATAGACAGGGATATGATCAAAAACAAAAATTTTAATGGCTCCCAGTTCTAAATTTTTCGATACTCTGACTCAACTTGGTAGTTTTTTTCAAATCAAATTTAAACTTGAAAATACATTACACATAGACATGACGTTTAAAAAACAAGCAATTCAGTTCTACCAATCTTTTTCGCAAAATAAAATTCTTCCCAGAAAAGCGCAGACAAGCTTCCTCAAAGTAATAAAAGTTGTTGTCAACAGTGTTAATTAAGCGACCTCAAATTTTGATTACCATAAATTAATAATATTATAACCGCGACCTAGAAATCCACTTTCCCAAATTGAATATTCATTTTCAGAAGAAACTATGATAAAAGAGAGTCCATAACAAGCTGTAATTTCGACGATTGTTCTGAATTTAGTGAGCTGACCAATTGCAAAACAGATCTGGCCACTTGCCAAGCACCAGATGGCCGTGTTTTTGGAAGCCTACGCCGTTCAAAAGTCTAATAAAACCTGACTTTTTAGCTAATCTTTGGAGTGGTAAGGGAAGTATAGGCTAAAAAATGGACGGTAAATTAGACTAGACCTCAAATAAACTACTGTATTTTTCTAACCTAAAAAATTTCTAAAAAGTTGCAAATCCCGCATCAACAGCCTACAAACGTATAATCTGATCCGAGCCGCGATACTGACCCCCGCAATTTCCCTGTTTCCGCGACGTAATAACGGCCCGCGGACATTCCCAAAATTAGCTGTCCGGAAGACGGCGGAAACAAAGTCTCCGTTCGTTTACTCGCCACCAAAAAACCGACTTTTCGTCATGGGAAAATTGGGGCTATACGACGGAAATCGAGTCCCAGTTTGAACAGATTAGAAGTCAATCTTCCTCCAAAACATATCGCATTTCAAAGAGAAATGCGCGGACGAATTAGGTCCTTCGGGATGCGGTCGCGGTTGGCTAATATGTAAGGCAGTCAGGGGTAGTCTAAAAGTTTAAATTAATAAGTGTATCTAGGGCATTTCCATAGGCCAAAGATCAGAAAAAATATGGCAGTTTTTTGTGAATTTTGCTATAGTATTTCTAAGGGTATATAATTTTAAGAACCTCCCATCCTAGGGCAATCTAGATCTCTCTGTCAATCCATAGTTCAAAGCCTACTTTTTAGCCAATGAATACGATAACCAGACACTCCAAATACCCCTCTACCACACCCAAAAATTCTTTATATATCCTCTGGAAACAGAAGATTACATAAAAGAGTGATTATCGCAAAAATAACTTAAATAAATTTAGCTGAGATTAGCCGGCAGTTGTGAGAATACATTGGGAAATAAGATTAGCTAATAAGATTAGAGAATGTTAACAACGCCGACAATGATCCAAATATGGAATTCTAGCGGCGGAAATTGATGGAGTCGGCTGGAATATGAGGAAATTATAGCGTAAGAAAGATTTTGACATTAGAAAAAATAAAAAGTTTCTAAAGAATTCAGTCTGGCCTAAAACGTTTATAGATGACATTAGAAATTTCAACGGATAATTAAATTTTATACTCACAATTTTTTGCCAGCATGATAATTAATTTCCTCCTTAAAAATTCGCACAGCAAAAGGAACTTCATTTTTGCACGGTGCGTTGTAAAAAATAGGCTTAATTTTGGCATGCACGGTGCAGTAAGTCAAAGTTTTTGCACAGTGCAAAATTATGTCAAAACTTTTTACACCATCAGAATGTACTGTATAATACAGCAGTTTGACCCTTCTGGAGAACAAAAAGAATTCGATAAATATCAAAGTAAGTCCAGCATTATCCACAGAGTGTGCAAAAAACGACTGAAACTTTGAGCGTTCGAGGATTATCCAGAGTGGAAAAATAGGGATTTGTAAACGTGAAACAGGAGTTTTTCCCTCTAAAATACCACGGTGAAAACCCTCAGATCTTCGTCGAATCTTCTGCGTAATCTGCAAAAAACCGCTGGCCCAATAAACTTGAAAACAAAGATTTTTCGAGAGTAATTGGATTTGAAAAACATATGGAATAATTAATTCTTCTGAAGTGATTTTAATTAGGGCCCAGGATCATTTCTTGTTTCTGGGAAGCCAATTAGGAGAGTTGTAAACAGGATGAACTCACGTCAATAGTCAAAATTTGAGGAAAGTGTATGATCTTTGCGTGGGGAGGCTGCGTAAGGCCGGGCTTGGTTGAAAAAAACTTACAATAAGAAATTTGGGTGACTATACAGGGTGTACCAAAAAAATGGAAACTTGTTTTTATAGCTATATTTTTTCGGAGAATCAAAATTCAGCAAAAGTAACGGTCATGATTGGTAACATAGAGCATTGTTTATAACATGTTCAACCTGTTTCACAGTAGCTGCCTTTGGTGGCGATATAGAGCTCCAAACGTGACGTAAAATTTTGGGGTCCGGGCCGCAGCTTTTTAAGGGGGAAATCGGTCCCGTTCTTGGCGCATCATTTACTTTGCGACTCCAAACTTTTGTGGAGCATAGTACAGGTGCTGGCCTTCTATTTAAAAAAATATATAGTCCATTGGATTCAGACCTGACGAGCAGGCGGCCATTTCGCAGGCGGGATAAAATCGGGAAAATCGGTCCCATTTCGGGTCCTGAGTTGATTTTGCCTTGTGAGCCGGCGCTGAGTCCTGTTGAAACGCTAAGTTTGCATTGCCAAGGTTCTTCTGAGCTCACGGAAGCACGCCAAAATAGAAATTAACGCGGCGCTTGTATTTTGCCCCATTGATTCACGAAAAACATGGAATTCTTGCCGCTGGCACAAATTCCGCCCTAAGCAATGACGGCCCGGATTTTGGCGGTATTCGACGATGCCCAACAGGCTAGGAGCCTCATTGAAGCAGATTCTATCGTTCTGGTGGTTGTGGATCCGCTAAATATTGAACCGCGAACTGAATGCGCTCACGTCTCGGAGCTGCGGCCCGCCCCTTTGACTTTCCGACATTTTTGTGCCGTACGCACTTTCTCTCGACTTTAAAGATCTGAATTTTTTAGAGCTTGTATGACGTGAGGTTGAGCTCGTCTTTGGCTATTCGGCCGACCGATCGGTCGCTGATGTCAGTCTCAAGGGCAAGTTATTCTTGAAAATCGCCGATTTTGCTGTTGAGGATCTCCCGGTTGAAAGAAGCGCTGGCGGTGCGTTTTTCTTTAACTTCCTGGGCGCTTACTATCCGTACCAAGCTCCTTGCGCCGCGTGATTACTTTCGACACAACGTTCTTTCTATACCGAGCAAATTAACTGTTCGAACAGCTCCAAAAACAAGTCCAAAATCAAGGTCCCTTCGTTTGAAGTCCAAAAAAACAGGTCGATTAATCGATATGGGCGTAAAAATCAAAACACCATGACAGAAAAACACAGAGAATTTTGTGGTAATAAACCTCTTTGGCTACACCTAACCATTTTTGCGTCAGGACCCATGAAAAAAAGTTTCCATTTTTTTGGTACACCCTGTAAAATACGTTTTCCTTCAATACTCCTTTGCTATAACTTCAACAGACATTGCCAGGAAATAAATTTCAAAAAAATGTTTAATTCCGAACGGCTATGAAAAAAAATTTTCAATGAAAGCAAGATGAAACTTGCCACGAATTAACGAGCAATAAAACCACCAAAGTTCAAATTAAGCAAGTATGGTACTATCCTCTAAGTTCTATTAGTCCTAATTTGCGTATGCGCTTTGTAAGCCCACTCTTACGATAAGTGTGGGGGTACAATCTTAGATTCTTAGAAGCTTTGTAACCGATCTTTATACGCTAGGGGCCAATTATTAACGCTTGAAGTCTAACTTATTTACTAACGGATCGTTGGCCCAAAAGTAGCCATCCACCAAATCCAGACTGAAGAAGATCAGTCGTTCTGGACTTGCAAAGCTATGATATCAGTTTGCCATTCATACTTTTTGTTTTCAAAACATACTAATCATGTTTGGCCCCCTTAGCCTCCCCATATTTCAACAAAAATATGAACGAAAATCCAAACAAAAGCTGCTTTAATCCCAAATTTGGCTAAAAGCAGGTGCTCTAAGCCGCCGTTATTATCACCAGAACCAATTTTAATATACGGCTTTGATTAGATGTATATTATGATTTTTCAGGCAGCAGACGTCGCTACAATGTAAGCGCTTTTAAAATTCATCCGTTTTGGCAAAAAATGGTTCAAAAACTACGGATCGAAAACCTGACTGGAGAAATTCGATCCTTGCACAAGTAAAATATATATGATTGGAGTGTCCGATTGGCCATGTCATTTGACTGGACGGAACGTACAATCTGATTCAAGGACTTTGCTGAAACATTATAGAAAACTTTTTTTTTAAACGCAAAGAAGTGACCATCCTCCGTGCATTCTGAAAAACCGGCATTAAAGTTCAACCCAAGTTTTTTTTTTAAATCAAAGATTCAACTCTTCGGGGACAAATTAAGATTACTCCCTTCCCCTTTTTACAGAGAAGCAAGTGCCAAGGAATTCTATCGATCACCAAATTGGCTATAAGTAACTTTTTTGACTTCTACTTTAGTTTTTATAAAAACTAGAGAAAATAAAAAAATATCAGTTCATGCCTATGGCATACGTACGATTTCAAAGGTAAGGAGGTCAATTTTAGGAGAAGATAAACCTCCCTGGAACAGAACCCTTCTAAAACAAGTAAACTTCTCGTCCTATTGCAATTATTAGTTGTGCAGAACTTCAACTGTATTATATAATGTCTTCAACTGCACATATAATGTCTATATTGTCAACACAAACTGCTCGCAAATAAAATTTTTACAAAAAAGGTGACCAACGATTCATAAAAAATCTAAAAAAACTTTTCGTAAAAAAAAACTAATCTTGAGAAAATCAGCAAAACATCACCACTAGACCTGGTCAGTATGTATATAAGTGATGACTAATGACAACCCTCGCTGTATGTCACATAACAAACCCGAAAATGACGTTACTCTTCCCACTTTAGTACACATGGGAAGCCACCCATCGAAAAAAGCGTTTGGAAAACAAATCAAAGTTTATACAGCTGCAGAGAATTCACAGGCCGAAAATTAAGAGATTTGCAGGACATTCGAGGAGGTGTCCGCAGGGAGAGGTTTTCCAAAATTTGCGGTCAAAATGGAGAGGAACGTTATAAAAGAACTCTTTCTGATGACAAATGAGGGCATTTCGAATAATTGAGAGCAAAAACCGAAAGGGTTTTGCATGAAAAGTTGATATTATAGGGTGATTTTGAAATTTTTTTCTAATAAAATGGTTAGTAAATGGCAAAAATTGAATAAAAAATGTAAAAAATATAAGCAAAAGTCCAGACAGCCTAAATAAATCAAATATTTTATAAATTTTTTCATTAATTTTAGCCTAAAAATCTCAAAAATAAATAATTTTCAAGGTATTTTATGCAATTTTACTTCCCAAAAAATCTCAATCGCAATCTTCAAGCTCGTAAAATCCTATTGATCAAAAAAGCCTCGGTTAAATCACGATGAGGAAACAAAGAACTCATAAAGTGGACATTCCCCCCGTTCCATTCGATCCCCCCTTCCCCTCTTTCAATCAATGTTTCCCCTCGTTCAGTTGTAAATCAAAAAATTCGGAAAGGCCTTTGGGAAAAACTTTAGCCAAAGCCGCATTTTTGAAATGTCTCAACGGACAGATGGCGGAATGCTTATAAGAGGTCGTCATAAATGTCAGATCACAAATCGAGCGGCTGTAATCAACATAATAAAGGTGAGAGGAGTTCAGGAACACAATTGGAGGTCTGGGAAATGAATTTTGAAAATCTTTGGAGTTGTTAAAATAAAGTGACGTATCTGATCCACTGGCAAAAAATGTACCATTTGGCACCCAAGAAATATCACAAAATATAGCAAAATATCTCCATCTCCAAGTGAAAAAATCCGATTTCAAAAGCGCGCCGGCCCTTTTTGTGAAGGAGAGGGCGAGAGGGAGGCATTTCACTACATTTCTTGATACTTCTTGGGTGCCAAATCGTACGTTTTTTGCCACTGGATCAGGTCTGTCACTGTGTATTATATTATTGCTGCAACCCCACTGTAGGCTCTAAATTCCCTTTGAGAATCCCTGTAATATCAATTTTTGGGTTGCTACAAAAATTTAAAGCATTTTTGTCGAAGATGCATGTGAAATTTCCAACCCATGCCCTACAAAACAACCGTGATCTTTATTCAAAAGTTGACTAAAGTTCAATAATTCCTAGGCTTTATCTGAAAATTTTCAGCGGCATTTTTATCAGAGTTTTAACAAAAAATTATTTTTTTCAAGCGAAATTGACAAAGATAAACACGTTCGAAAAAGGTTCTTCTCTCTGACCGCTCTCGGCAGTTTGCGTACTCTCTCGCCGGCAAAGATCGCTGAATGCCCCAAATTCCCAAATAAAGCGCTAGCTAAGACTTTCAAGAATTGATATGTAGTCCACTGCAATCTTACAATGATGAAAATCTGGGCCTAATATTTAGAACATTTCTCTTGTCGTAGTATTTTTTCAAACGACAAGAACTCGAAACAAAATTACATTTATTTGCAAGCCAATGTAAAGAAATAATGCAAGTCATAGTTATGACGTTTCCGTCAAACAACAAGACATTTGCTAACAAATGATTATTATTATATATAATAATCACCCGGTCCTCTTCAAGATCCAGCCCCAATAATCCTATCCCGCGTAAACAAGACAACCGAAAATATAAAGATGGACGCAGAGTATCGAATATCGCTTTTGATCCGGAGATTTAATTCAGCCTTTTCATGTTTGATCTAGCTACAAATCTATCTCCTTACTGCAAGATCAAAAGAATCCTAGAAAAAATACGGTAATCGAGAGAATATGAGACTCTTCGTAGTGCTGACTATAGTTGCCGTTTTTGAATATGAATGCTTATTCCAAAGTTTTCACTTCAAATTCCATTATGTTTAGAAGGGATGAGCGGGTGGGGGATCCGACCGTTTTGTTCTCGTCTTGTTTGGGGCCAAGGCGAACATAAACAAATTTTCCACTACCCACATGGTGACGAAGACAAAACGTACTATGAGACAGGTTGCACAACAAATTCCCAGAATTTGGGGTCCATAAAGTTCGTAAATAAGGTTTTTCCACAATATACAGTAAGAAAGAATAAAGAAAATTACTTAAAAATGGAGTAAAATGCAGTAGATGTGTTTCACAAGAAAAGTTAACTTCTGCACAGTGCAACCTCAAAAATAGGCTAAAATCGGCCCTGCACGGTGCAGAAAAGTTTGTAGTTTTATCGTATGACAAAAGTCATCATATAAAAGTTGTGGTAATTTACACTGACAACAATCAAGACGCTAGGACCGCCACAAACCTCTAGACTACGAGTCTTTACCATAACACGAATTATTGGCCTTTTTTTGAGGTTTCTCTATTTTCGCACCGTGCGGACCAGGAAATAAGCTACGGTTAGTCCAGCACGGCAAAACAGCTTTGAACGTTGTAAACCCCATTAGATATAATCAACAACCACAGGAATTTCTATAAAGAGGCTTACGAGGGAATGGTCTGAACTTCCCCCAGCGTTTGGGAAAAAGACTAGTACAGGTGGATAGAGCAAGTAAACTTTGGTGAAAAGATCCATTTTCCAGCTGCGGAATAAGCCCGGCCGACGAGAAAAATCGACCGAAAGTTCCACAAAAATTTCCTCTTTCTCTTCGCTCGGAAAAGAAGAGCGGTGTCCAATGGTTCGGTTAGCCGAGTGGATAAAGCATCCGCTCGGTATTCTTTTGGGGGTTGGTTCGATTCCGGGGTCTTGCGAAGGACCGTGATAAGGCTTTGATGAGTAAGATCAAACTCTAACAACCCAAAAAAAATTATTTTGCCTTTTTCAAAGTCAAGTCTATCACCAAACAAGTATAACTTTGGCGTTCCATCGCTTTGAAGGTTCGGAAGCACCCAAAAAATTCATTTTTTGACAATTATTGTTTTGGTATAATTCCCCTATAAAACGTATAAAAACGGCAAAATATTTTTTGGGTTGTTAGAGTTTGATCTTGCTCATCAAAGCCTTATCACGGTCCTTCGCGAGACCCCGGAATCGAACCAACCCCCAAAAGAATACCGAGCGGATGCTTTATCCACTCGGCTAACCGAACCATTGGACACCGCTCTTCTTTTCCGAGCGAAGAGAAAGAGGAAATTTTTGTGGAACTTTCGGTCGATTTTTCTCGTCG